GGCACCACCTGAAGCAGTCCAGCAGCCCCTTGAGACATCTCACGACTTAACACTTGCCTGCACGTACCTCCTCCCAACCCTGCTTGGCTTGACTTACCTAGCGAGCCCCTGCTTGACGCCGTGAGCGTCCACCTTGGTGTAGAACGCGTCCCACGTGCACCACCCAAAGCAGTCCAACAGCCCTGGCAGCTGCTTCTCCTCCCGCCTCAGAAACGACCCCGTGTGCTGCTCCACCGCCCTGCCAGCATTGCAGGCGAGGGGAAGGGGCCAGGAAAGAGGGGAGCAGGATTCTGAGGCGCCAATACAATTGTCAGGACACGAGCAGAAGAGTGGATGGAAGGAGCTAGGGAGAGAAGGGTGGCAGGGACGCACTTGACATTGACAGCATCGGCGATGATAGAGTAGGGGCTGGTGCAGCTGTGCATGTGCAAGGAGTGGACAGCGGGTGAGAGGCGTGGAGTGAAAGTGAGATAGAGAGGGAGTGAGAGGTGGAGTGAGAGTGAGAAGGAGGGAGGGAAGGATGGCAGGGTGGCAGGGCACGCACTTGACAGCGTCAGCGATGATAGAGTAGGGGTTGGTGCCGCTGTGCATGTACACTGCGTGCAGTGACTCGTCCGTGCACACCTGGGGGTCGCCTGGTGGCAGGGGTTGGCAGAGGGTGCAAGGGTATGGAAGGGGGTGGAAGGAGGAGATATGGAAGGAGATACGACAGGAACTCTCACGATACACCACGTGGGGGTCGCAGGTGATGGCATGGCATGACGGATGGGTTGTTGGGAAGGGGGTTGCGGGAGGTGGAAGATGGGAGAGCAAGGGGATACGTGAGATACTCGTGGCTTTTTTTCGATTGCGCATGGACAGGGCGTGCATGGCGTCAGCGTGGAGGGCCATAAACGGTTGGTAGGGATGGAGCACAGAGGGGATAATGAAGAGCTCAGAAAGCTCAATGACAAAAGACGTGCTTCGGTTCAATGCGCGCGAAGCAAAGGGTTCACTGGAGTGTGACTGCTAGTCCGTTACACATGGCACAGGGCACAGGACACAGGGGATAGGGCACAGAGCGCAGGGCACAGAGCGCAGGGCACAGAGCGCAGGGCACAGAGCGCAGGGCACAGAGCGCAGGGCACAGAGCGCAGGGCCCAGAGTGACAGCCTGTTTTCCATCGTCCTTCCTTCTCTGTAAACCACCCGCCCCTTCAATGTAGTGTTCACCTGAAAGCTCGAAGACAAACCTAGTTTGATGCGTTTCGAGACTACCACTATGCACTGCGCCTCACCGCTCTCGAGGCACACTTCGAGGTGGTCGGACGGCGATCCTTGCAGCGCCGCACGGAAGGACCCGTCCAGCAGCGGCAGCACCACCACATACACCCTCGCGCTCGCACTCGCACTCGCGCTGCCGCCCGCCTCTGCCGACGCGTTCTGTGCCTGCTGCTGCGGCTGCCCGGCGGGGAGTTCGAGCAGCAGGAACTGCGTTTCCACGGGAACCTCGCGGCCGCTGCTGCCCACACGCTGCGTCATCCACCAGAGCTTGAAGCGGAAGCAGCACAGGAACCGCGCGCCCCTGGGGGGGAAAATGGAATGGTGGGCAGTTCGCGATTTAATACTATACACGATACAGGTGAAAAGTCTTCTCACGCGACAGTATTCCTGGGCTCACCCGCGTTTCGCCCCGCTACCCTCACTCCCAGCGCACCCCTCACTCGCAGCACTTTTTTTGCGTTATGAGGATCGGCTCATAACCCCAGGCAACGGCGCTCACGAGCGTGTGCTCGCACCGCATTGCACCTCACCAGCGTGCGCTCACGCCGCCTTGTGCCTCACCTCAGCAGCCTGGGCTCACATCGCATCCGCATTGCGCCTCACCTGAGCACGCCCAGGCGGAACACGTGCCAGCTGTGCGCCTCGCGGAACCGACTCCCCAGAAACACGCCGTGCGCTTCCGACTCCCCCTCTCCCAAATTCTTCGACCCCCCCGCGTGCGGCGTGAGCACGAGCGACGCCGGCACGTCGCTCAGCACCACGCGACCGTGGGCGAGCAGCTGTCGCTCGTCGCTGATGCGAATGCTGGAGCGCACGGGTACATCTGGTGGCGGGGTTGATGCCGTTGGGGGTGCGGCTGGTTCGGCTGGTAGAGGTTGGTGAGAGGAAGAGACGGCAGCACCGACGGGAGGAGGAGAGAGCGTGTCGATGGCTGGTTGCACGGCTACCGCCATGTCTTGCTGCTGATCTGGAAATTGTCGTTGCTGTTGTTTTAATTGCTGCTGGCGGTTTTGTCGCACGGACGAATGCCCGCGGAACGGCGGACGGGGCGCAGCGGAGGCACGCGATGACGGACGAGCGCCGGAGCCGGCGCGGACAGGGAAAAGATTTCTGGAGCCGCGGATTTCGTTGCCACCGAGATCGTTGGAGTTAATGTTCCTGGCAGCGGCGGTGGCAGTAGAAAGGCGTCTCAAATGGAAGCTACTCCATTGTTGCGGTGATTCGACGCGTGGAGAGTGCAGGGTGCGCAATTGCGAGGTGAGCGACGCGATCGGGCTGCGAGGAGCAGCGAGGGTTGGAGGAGAATAAGTTAGCGTGAGAGGCGACGACGCATTTGGTGTGCGAGCGGACGACGCGGTGGGTGTCAGAAGAGGAGACGCTTTCACAAGCTTATTAGCGGCGGGGCGCGGCAAGGAACGCACGCGGACCAATTTTCCTTGAGAGCCACCATCTCACCTGTTGCAGAGACTAGAATGGGAGATGCGAAGAGCTATCAGTGGCTGATGAAGATATCATAGTGCACGTTTAGCTGCGGCGAAGCCATTTCGGATCGTGCTGTCTGCCGACGGCTTTACACGAAAGGTCACGCTAGTAAGGTGGAAGAATCAAAAGGCACTATAGTGCTGTCGGAAGGGCTTCTCGTGATCTAATCTGGGTGGTGCTTATGTGTGCAACACAAACGTTGGCAAAGGCTTTCGGTGGTGGTGAGGTGAATGGCGGTGGGTGATAAGAAGACGGTTTTCCGCTGACGGATTGGCAGAGGGTGGTAATGCCGAGGTGTCAATACCCTGCGAAAAGAACTGCGGAAGGGTTCAAAACTGGATTCGAGCAGGCCTTTGTACCCACGGTTTGTGTGTCCAAGACGCTAGCGTTTGTGCCATGGCGAGGGTCGAGTAGAATCAAGTGTTAGGAGTAGGAGACTAGAGCGTCGGAGGGGACTTGCTGGACCAGCTGGTACAAACCTCCCCTTCCCCCACCCACCAGCTTGCTGTGACGGGTGTGTCACCTCGAGAGGGCATCGGTTTGGATCTGGCAGGGGGAGTGCCGCGCCGTGCCTTGGGGTCTGATTTCAGGCTCACAAAAACCTTACTGCCAATCAAGTTGAACCACATGTAACACAAATACAGCAGTAGCGGTAAAACCTCTCTAGTGAGCTGTCCTCGTTCAGACCACAAGCGCGCCAGTGGCGGCTGGTAACCACCAAGGTCTCCAGCTCACCTACCCATACACCAATGTCCAGACGAATGGGATCTAGCCACTGAAACGTAAGTGAGGAAAGGTCTCGTCAAAAGTTTGAAAAACTACGTCATATCCACGTCGTTGGTAGATCAACCCCCACAAAATGGACGTGGAGCAACCCATATTTTTTTTTCCCGCGATGCAACTCTATGAAACACATCGTACACCACAAGGACTCGTTCGTTGGTGAGGGTATCGAGCTCCACGTCATATCCACGTGGCAAATTAATCAGATCACATAGAGATATTTTCCTGTAACGCCTGAAAGGCATCAAGTACATCAATTGAGAAAGCTCCGTTATTACGCAGTATGTTTCCAAATTTCTAAACAGACTATATGTTTGTCAATACAAGTAATGTTGTCAAGCTTTTAAGGGTTCTCAAAAGTAAACAGTCGCATCGCAAGGTGCTCCACACAGCCTTACAAGGTCACATTGTGGAGAGATCAAGCAGGCACCTCCACCTCCTGCCCCTCACCCGCCTCTACAGCAGCGAGACGCCGGGCCAGGGCTCTCGTTAGCAGGGTAAAACACCCTGATTGCCCTGACTGGCGGAAGGGTAATGAGATTTTTACCCTAGGCCAGAAAGTGTAAGTTTTTTTTTCCCCTTCGAGAAACAGCGTATAGGATATATTTCTCTGACTGTAACAGGGTACGATCTCAACAACACTGATACCGAATGCTCCGTAGCGAGACAAAACATACTTCGAGTCGCCGCGAAATACAACCAACAGCGAGAATCGGACTTGCGACCTTACAGATCTTATACGCTAGCGTACCAACTGAGCCAAAAGAGTTGAACCGGAGAACTTTTGCATTTATTTATATAATAACTAAGTGTACCAAAAAAATTACCCTGTCCAAACAGACTTCTAGTTTTTTTACCCTGAATTTGGCAGGGAATTTTTTTTTTACCCTACGCATCAGGGTTGACTATACCTAGAACCCTGATTACTAAGGGTGGCCCAAAACGAATCTGAAGCCCTGCGCCGGGCCTTGCGAGCGCGGTGCTTGAGTGCGCGGCGAGACACGTACCTCAGAAGGCGAGGGTGGGGGGGCATGGAGCCCTACAAGCCCATCGCGAAATCAAGCAGCTACGCACTTCCTGCCCCCGACCCATCTCGTGATCCACCTCCCTCCCCTCACCTGACCATTGCCCATCACCAGTCCCCTCTCCCTCACCGGCCCCTGCAGCAGCGAGGCGTCGAACCTTGCGAGCTCTCCTCTTGAGTGCACGGCGGGACACGTGCCCCGGAGGGCAAAAGGGGAGCCACGGAGCCCTGTAAGCCCGCAGGGGAATCAAGCAGCCACCTCCACCTCCTGCCCCCGACCCATCTCTTGACCCTCCTCCCTTCCCCCTCCTGCCCCCTGCCCCTCACCCCCCGCTGCTGCTGCAAGGCGTCGGGCCTTGCGTGCTCGACGCTTGAGGGCACACCGGGACACATAGCCAGGGGGGCGAGGGGGAGGAAGGGGGGCGGATCCCTACAGGCCTATCACAAGATCAAGCAGCTGCTTCCACCTCCTGCCCCCGACCAATCTCTTGACCCTCCTCCCTCCCCTCTCCGCCTCCTTGCCCCTCACCCGCCTCTGCAGCAGCAAGGCGTTTGGCCTTGCGTGCCCGTCGCTTGAGGGCACGGCGGGACACGTAGCCAGGGGGGCGAGGAGGGGGAGCGATGGGCAGGTAGGTGTGCAGACGCTGGTAGGGCTCTGGGCGGGCGAGGAAGGGGCGCAGGCGAGGAGCAGCAGCACACTCTGTGCTGCAGGCGCCATTCATAGCTTGGGCGCATCCGGAGCAGAACCTGAGGGGGAGGAGTGGGAAGGGTGGGGGAGTAGAGGAGGAGTGGGGCGCGATAACTTTCTAGTTGACTATAAGATCAGCAGCAGAGCACTCGGTGCTGCACGCACCCCCATGGCTCGAGCACACGCGGAGCAGACCCTGAGGGAAGAGCGGAAGAGGGGGAAGAGGGGGAAGGGGGGGAGGAGGGGGAGGAGGGGGAGAAGGGGGAGGAGGGGGAGGAGGAGGAGGAGGAGGAGGAGGAGGAGGAGGAGGAGGAGGAGGAGGAGGAGGAGGAGGAGGAGGAGGAGGAGGAAGAGGAGGAGGAGGAGGAGGAGGGGACACCTCAGGAGGAACACTGCATGCATGCACTTGCCAAATCTACCCCTCCACACCACACCGCAACAAACCACACCACACACAGCATATCCCACCCAGGACACATCTCCAGTTCCCACACCACAGTACAGTACATCTACACACTCACTCACTCTCGGCCCCACAACATATCTCTCACTCCATTCTCCTCCCACCATCTCCCCAAACGAGCCTTGATCGAAACTCACAGAATGAGGGCGTTGCAGTCTGAGTTGGCGCAGTTGCGATGCTTCACCTCCTCCAACCGCCCTCCACACCTCTGACACCCCACACTCTCCTCCACCTCTTCCACTTCCTCCCCCATCATCACCTCACCCAGCACCTCCCCAACCCTCTCCACCCCCTCCTCCTCCGCATCCCGCAACACCTTCCCCCCAACCTGATAATCCCTGGGCGGCACAGCCAGCCGTGAGTCAAACATTAAAAGCCGCCCGTTCCAGTGCTCGCCGCCCTGCTCGGGCATGTACCGGGCGACGCCGCCCTCAAGGGTGTAGAGGCGCTTAAAGCCCTGCTGTCTGAGCAGCGCGGAGTAAACATCACATCGAATGCCCCCCGTGCAGTACATGAGCACCTCTGTCTCCTCCTTGTCTGCTGCTGATAGCGGGTCGTATGCACCCTCCTCCTGCCTCCCTGCCTCCTCTTCCTCCTGCTGTTGTTGCTGCTGAAGCTGCTGCTGCTGCTCTGCTGTGGTGGCTTCAGTGTGTTCCTGGAAACGAGCGTGCGGGGAGATGGTTGGCAGGCAGGAGAGGGTTGTTGAGTCAAGCGAGCACACACGGTGCAACAAAACCACCCCTCTCCCAGGCGAGGTTTGACTTGTGCGACCCTTGTTCATCCTACCTCGTCTGCTGAATCTCGCGACCTCCTCGCCTCCACACACTCACCACAACAACCTTCCCACCCTCTCGCCGCCCAACGTTCATCTCTTGCCGCCCAACCCTAACCTCTTGCCGCCCAGCCCTCACCTCTTGCCGCCCAGCCCTCACCTCTTGCCGCCCAGCCCTCACCTCCTGCAGGCCGAACTCGGTGGATCGGAAGTTGTCAACCGGAGGGCGCACAGCCCCGGCAAAATGGCCCACGTCCCACTCGTAGCCTGGTGGGAGAAGCGGGGGAGAGGGGGAGAGGGATGGGGAGAGCGAGCTAGAGAAGGAGAGATGAGGAAGGTCTGCAGTGTGTGAAGTTGTCTACTGGAGGGACTTTTGAGTCGACTCAAAAGGGCGCACAGCCCCGGCAAAATGGCCCACATCCCACTCGTAGCCTAGAGAGGGGGTTTGGCGTAAGAGGGGGAGAGAGAGTAAGGGGAAGGACGGTGTGTTGCTGAAGGTGTCTCATGCCATCGACACAGAGGCCCTCCTCGCGTTGTCAACCCCGAGGGTACACAGCCCACGCAAAATGGCCCACGTCGCAATCGTAGCCTGGTAGGGGGAAGGGAGGAGGGGAGGGGGAGAGGGGGAGGGGGACATGGGAAAAGTCTGCAATGTGTGTGAGGACAGCGCCGCTTGGCGCACACAGACAGCAACCACTGTTGCACAGCACAAGGTACAGTCACCTGCACAAGGGCGGGCTTGCAGGCGTCTCACCTGCACAACGGAAGGTACAGTGTGGTGCAGCCACGACCACTCACCTGCACAACGGAAGGTACAGTGTGGTGCAGCCACGACCACTCACCTGCACAACGGAAGGTACAGTGTGGTGCAGCCACGACCACTCACCTGCACAACGGAAGGTACAGTGTGGTGCAGCCACGACCACTCACCTGCACAACGGAAGGTACAGTGTGGTGCAGCCACGACCACTCACCTGCACAACGGAAGGTACAGTGTGGTGCAGCCACGACCACTCACCTGCACAACGGAAGGTACAGTGTGGTGCAGCCACGACCACTCACCTGCACAACGGAAGGTACAGTGTGGTGCAGCCACGACCACTCACCTGCACAACGGAAGGTACAGTGTGGTGCAGCCACGACCACTCACCTGCACAACGGAAGGTACAGTGTGGTGCAGCCACGACCACTCACCTGCACAACGGAAGGTACAGTGTGGTGCAGCCACGACCACTCACCTGCACAACGGAAGGTACAGTGTGGTGCAGCCACGACCACTCACCTGCACAACGGAAGGTACAGTGTGGTGCAGCCACGACCACTCACCTGCACAACGGAAGGTACAGTGTGGTGCAGCCACGACCACTCACCTGCACAACGGAAGGTACAGTGTGGTGCAGCCACGACCACTCACCTGCACAACGGAAGGTACAGTGTGGTGCAGCCACGACCACTCACCTGCACAACGGAAGGTACAGTGTGGTGCAGCCACGACCACTCACCTGCACAACGGAAGGTACAGTGTGGTGCAGCCACGACCACTCACCTGCACAACGGAAGGTACAGTGTGGTGCAGCCACGACCACTCACCTGCACAACGGAAGGTACAGTGTGGTGCAGCCACGACCACTCACCTGCACAACGGAAGGTACAGTGTGGTGCAGCCACGACCACTCACCTGCACAACGGAAGGTACAGTGTGGTGCAGCCACGACCACTCACCTGCACAACGGAAGGTACAGTGTGGTGCAGCCACGACCACTCACCTGCACAACGGAAGGTACAGTGTGGTGCAGCCACGACCACTCACCTGCACAACGGAAGGTACAGTGTGGTGCAGCCACGACCACTCACCTGCACAACGGAAGGTACAGTGTGGTGCAGCCACGACCACTCACCTGCACAACGGAAGGTACAGTGTGGTGCAGCCACGACCACTCACCTGCACAACGGAAGGTACAGTGTGGTGCAGCCACGACCACTCACCTGCACAACGGAAGGTACAGTGTGGTGCAGCCACGACCACTCACCTGCACAACGGAAGGTACAGTGTGGTGCAGCCACGACCACTCACCTGCACAACGGAAGGTACAGTGTGGTGCAGCCACGACCACTCACCTGCACAACGGAAGGTACAGTGTGGTGCAGCCACGACCACTCACCTGCACAACGGAAGGTACAGTGTGGTGCAGCCACGACCACTCACCTGCACAACGGAAGGTACAGTGTGGTGCAGCCACGACCACTCACCTGCACAACGGAAGGTACAGTGTGGTGCAGCCACGACCACTCACCTGCACAACGGAAGGTACAGTGTGGTGCAGCCACGACCACTCACCTGCACAACGGAAGGTACAGTGTGGTGCAGCCACGACCACTCACCTGCACAACGGAAGGTACAGTGTGGTGCAGCCACGACCACTCACCTGCACAACGGAAGGTACAGTGTGGTGCAGCCACGACCACTCACCTGCACAACGGAAGGTACAGTGTGGTGCAGCCACGACCACTCACCTGCACAACGGAAGGTACAGTGTGGTGCAGCCACGACCACTCACCTGCACAACGGAAGGTACAGTGTGGTGCAGCCACGACCACTCACCTGCACAACGGAAGGTACAGTGTGGTGCAGCCACGACCACTCACCTGCACAACGGAAGGTACAGTGTGGTGCAGCCACGACCACTCACCTGCACAACGGAAGGTACAGTGTGGTGCAGCCACGACCACTCACCTGCACAACGGAAGGTACAGTGTGGTGCAGCCACGACCACTCACCTGCACAACGGAAGGTACAGTGTGGTGCAGCCACGACCACTCACCTGCACAACGGAAGGTACAGTGTGGTGCAGCCACGACCACTCACCTGCACAACGGAAGGTACAGTGTGGTGCAGCCACGACCACTCACCTGCACAACGGAAGGTACAGTGTGGTGCAGCCACGACCACTCACCTGCACAACGGAAGGTACAGTGTGGTGCAGCCACGACCACTCACCTGCACAACGGAAGGTACAGTGTGGTGCAGCCACGACCACTCACCTGCACAACGGAAGGTACAGTGTGGTGCAGCCACGACCACTCACCTGCACAACGGAAGGTACAGTGTGGTGCAGCCACGACCACTCACCTGCACAACGGAAGGTACAGTGTGGTGCAGCCACGACCACTCACCTGCACAACGGAAGGTACAGTGTGGTGCAGCCACGACCACTCACCTGCACAACGGAAGGTACAGTGTGGTGCAGCCACGACCACTCACCTGCACAACGGAAGGTACAGTGTGGTGCAGCCACGACCACTCACCTGCACAACGGAAGGTACAGTGTGGTGCAGCCACGACCACTCACCTGCACAACGGAAGGTACAGTGTGGTGCAGCCACGACCACTCACCTGCACAACGGAAGGTACAGTGTGGTGCAGCCACGACCACTCACCTGCACAACGGAAGGTACAGTGTGGTGCAGCCACGACCACTCACCTGCACAACGGAAGGTACAGTGTGGTGCAGCCACGACCACTCACCTGCACAACGGAAGGTACAGTGTGGTGCAGCCACGACCACTCACCTGCACAACGGAAGGTACAGTGTGGTGCAGCCACGACCACTCACCTGCACAACGGAAGGTACAGTGTGGTGCAGCCACGACCACTCACCTGCACAACGGAAGGTACAGTGTGGTGCAGCCACGACCACTCACCTGCACAACGGAAGGTACAGTGTGGTGCAGCCACGACCACTCACCTGCACAACGGAAGGTACAGTGTGGTGCAGCCACGACCACTCACCTGCACAACGGAAGGTACAGTGTGGTGCAGCCACGACCACTCACCTGCACAACGGAAGGTACAGTGTGGTGCAGCCACGACCACTCACCTGCACAACGGAAGGTACAGTGTGGTGCAGCCACGACCACTCACCTGCACAACGGAAGGTACAGTGTGGTGCAGCCACGACCACTCACCTGCACAACGGAAGGTACAGTGTGGTGCAGCCACGACCACTCACCTGCACAACGGAAGGTACAGTGTGGTGCAGCCACGACCACTCACCTGCACAACGGAAGGTACAGTGTGGTGCAGCCACGACCACTCACCTGCACAACGGAAGGTACAGTGTGGTGCAGCCACGACCACTCACCTGCACAACGGAAGGTACAGTGTGGTGCAGCCACGACCACTCACCTGCACAACGGAAGGTACAGTGTGGTGCAGCCACGACCACTCACCTGCACAACGGAAGGTACAGTGTGGTGCAGCCACGACCACTCACCTGCACAACGGAAGGTACAGTGTGGTGCAGCCACGACCACTCACCTGCACAACGGAAGGTACAGTGTGGTGCAGCCACGACCACTCACCTGCACAACGGAAGGTACAGTGTGGTGCAGCCACGACCACTCACCTGCACAACGGAAGGTACAGTGTGGTGCAGCCACGACCACTCACCTGCACAACGGAAGGTACAGTGTGGTGCAGCCACGACCACTCACCTGCACAACGGAAGGTACAGTGTGGTGCAGCCACGACCACTCACCTGCACAACGGAAGGTACAGTGTGGTGCAGCCACGACCACTCACCTGCACAACGGAAGGTACAGTGTGGTGCAGCCACGACCACTCACCTGCACAACGGAAGGTACAGTGTGGTGCAGCCACGACCACTCACCTGCACAACGGAAGGTACAGTGTGGTGCAGCCACGACCACTCACCTGCACAACGGAAGGTACAGTGTGGTGCAGCCACGACCACTCACCTGCACAACGGAAGGTACAGTGTGGTGCAGCCACGACCACTCACCTGCACGAGCGCCGGCTTGTAGCGCAGGCGGAGGCGCGGGAAGGCGTGGCCGATGGGGGAGGGCGACAGCTGCAGAGGCACCCCGGCGAAGCGCTGGTCGCTGCGCACCCACTCGGCATACTCCATCACGTGTGAGGCTGGGCCGCTGAGCTGCGAGGGAGGACGAGATGATGTGATGGGGAGAGGAACGGAGGATTGGAAAGAGGGATGGGGGAGTGAGGGGTCGATGCACAACCAGTCTGCATACTCCAACACGTGTGAGGCCGGCCCGCTGAGCTGCGCGGAAGGAGAGGTGTGTGAGGAGGGAATGCGGAGAGTAACAGGAGGGTGTGGGCGCAGATAGGGGCAAAGCGCTCGTCACAGCACACCCACTCGGCACACTCCATCCATCACGTGTGAGGCTGGCACGCTGAGCTGCGAGAGACGACAGAGAGGGGAACGGGAGACTGACAAGCGCGCGAGGCCGGACTGCTGAGATGAGATGATGCGATGCGGTGAGTTGGAACATGGATGGCACAGGCTCGTGTAGAGTGCAATGACAGGCAAGAACTCTCCCTCTCGCTCTCCCTCTCGCTCTCCCCCTCGCTCTCCCTCTCGCTCTCCCTCTCTCTCCCACTAGTTCTCGCTCTTGCCCTCGCCCACATCCTCTTGCCTTTCCCCTTCTCAAAGGCTACATTCTCGCGAGTTGAAAAGCTGAACGGTACAGTGCGGTGCTGGAGAAGAACGATGCGAACACACGGGACTTCACTCTTTGATGAAAATTGTGTAGAGCCGTATTGATCTTTCCCTGCGCCCCGAATCTTAAACCCTGAACCTTGAATCTTAAACCCTGAAGCTTGAAGCTTGAACCATGAGCCATGAATCTTGTATCCTGAGCTCCGAGTCTTCTTAACCCATGCATGCTGCACCGCACCGTTGGGCCATGCCACGTCACTCCCACATCTGCACCACCAACACCCATGCTCCTGTCCCCTGCACCACCACCTCCCATGCCCCATGCCTCACCCGCTCCTGCCTGCCTCACCCGCTCCTGCCTGCCTCACCCGCTCCTGCCTGCCTCACCCGCTCCTGCCTGCCTCACCCGCTCCTGCCTGCCTGCCCCGAGTGACTCACCTGAGCGTTGATGCCCTGGTGGCTGATGTATATCCGGCCTCGGATGTCCCGCTCCTGAGACACACACACATGGAGGCACACGGGCGGGAATGCAAGAGGAGAGATCGGTAGGCAGGCAGGAAGGGAAGGGACAGAGTGAAGGGAGGGAGGGGAGAGAGTGCAAGGACCAGCGCTAACGCAGTGTGACTAGCGAGGCGCTGAGGTGGGCACACCACATTGGCCACTGCAGTGCTACACCTTGACATTGACGTTAACGTTAACGTTGACGTGGACGAGGACGTCAACCAGCTCATTGCCTTCCCCACTACACCGCATTCTCAATCCGCACCTGTAGGAACGCACGGTTCCGCTCCACGTCACCATGGGCATCCTCCACGTCAGCAAAGTGGTAAAAGTTGAGCACCAAAAACGGCTCCCCTTGCGCGCTCCCCGCGCCGTCCGCCGCTTCCGCCGCTCCGCCATCCCTGCGCTCCGCGGAGCCTTCCCCCGCGGGAGCTGCCGCGGAACTCTCTGGAGTCGGCATAGAAGCCGCGCTATCGTGCGCCTGCGCGCGGCATTCTCCGCGCGGGCGGAACGCGGAGAGCAAAGCACGTGTGCGCCGCCTGGAGCACTCCGCGGGAAACGAAGGGTCGCGGATAAAGCCTGTGCGCGCGTGAGGGGCGGATCGGCAGCGGGGAAAGCAGCCGGCGGGGGTGATGGTGGCGGGGGCAGCAGCAAAGGAGAGTCGCGACGCTAACGGGAGAGCGGCTCGAGCAAGGAGAGGCAAGGCGAGGCCAGTGGGAAATGGCAGCGACTGAGCGGTCCGCGTAGGGGCGGCCGATGGAGCCGCGCGTGCCGGCGCGAGTGCCGCTGCTTGCTGCTGCGCGCCGAGCGGTCTGCTGAGCCCCCTTATGACGTCAGTCATGGTGGGGACTCGAATGCGGAAGATCGGTAGGCTGGAAAGCGCGACTCGAAGGCGCATAGACCTCCGGGTCGCGTGAGTTGGACACGGCAGCAGTCGTTGCGATGCGAGCAACAATAGCAGCAGAATGGAGGAAGCGTTGAACGAGGGAGGGTGTGAGATGAGAATAGCGTGTATGAGAATCGGAGGGAGACGGGGTGATGTGGGAAAAGAATGATATTGATCACGTTTCTCGCGAAGATGGTGATATCGCGTAAAAAAGATTACCGGAGGTCCAGCGCAGAAAGGTCCAGGGCACGTCAGGCCACGTGTTACGCGAAAAGTGGATGGAAAATATCGCGAGGGCACATGGGAACTGGTTACAAAGCAAACATGTACAAGGCCAGGTGTAAGGATCTACAAATCATTAATGAGGCACTCATTAGCGAGGTCATCCCGAGGGTCACGCGACGAACCTGTTGGGCCTATTTCGAAGCACCGAACCACCCCCCGGTCGCCTCCGCACCAATCGCGACATCACCGAACCATCCTCGCCCGACCTCCCCGCCTAGCTAGCGTTTCCCCTATTTAGTCTCGACACTTTCCTTGTCATTCTGTAATCAATCATTCTCGATATTCGTTATTCTGCGCACTCTGCAAGTTCATTCATAACACCAGGTTATAAAGCAAACATAACAGAACAAACAAATTTGTATGTACCGTACCAATATATTCAACAAGTTCGCTATACAATTCTCCTTCATGGTCAGAAGCACAACTAGCACTATAGCGTCATACACTACATTTCCCACAGCAGCAAGTTGTGCTTCTGACCAATCAGCAAGGCCAAATCCGCCAGTCCGAATTAGCCAAGGTCGAATACCGGTATGTACGCCTTCACTTCTGAGACGAGCACCACGTATAAATGAAGGGGAGTTGTTGTGTCGACTCTGTGATCCATGCTCAGCAGCAGGAATAACATGGCATGGGATGGAGCAAGACAGCATGGATGCATGCACCCCGTCATGGCTTGGTCTTCTTGGATATGCTACTCTGCTCTGCTCGCTCAAGCCACCACTCCTTGCCTGCTGCAGTAAACAACCGGCCTTGAATCACGATGGGGAGAGGAGTGAGTGGAGGGGGAGGGAGAGCGGGGCGGGAGGGGCGGGGGCACGGCGGCAGGCGATGGCAGTGCTGAAGTGCAGCAGGAGGGAGCGGGCGAGGGCGGGGGAGGGCAGGGGGGAAGGGGAGTTAAGAGGGGGGAGGGGGAGGTGGAGGAGGGGGAGAGGCGAGATGAGATGCGCCATGGCTTGCACCGTTAGTGTGGGGGTCATCTCGCCGCTGTAGATGCTGCTGCTGTTCCCTCTGCTGTTTGGCTTGTGGTTGTTGTGGTTGATGAGGGTTGGTAGTTGGATGGGAGAGAGGGGGGGGCGCGGGCGGTCGGGGGGAGGGGAGAAAGGTGGCCTGTACTGTGCAGGCTCGGATGCCGCCGGTGGTGGTGGCACAGCAGCAGCAATAGCCGCAGCGGCGGCAGGAGGAGTGGCGATAAGAAGAGGAGGAGGAGGAAGAGGAGCGGTAGGAGAAGCAGCAGGACTGGTGATCAGGGCATGGTCTGTAGCGCAGGGGGCAGGCAGCAGGGGAGCAGTGGGCGAGCGGGTCTCACAGTGCCCCAGGTGCTGTGTGGGTGGTGGTGGCGTGTGCAAGGATACGCATGGGGGAGGCAGTGTGGAAGTGGGAGAGGAGAGGGAGGAGGGGGAGGAGCACGGAGAGGAGGACGGGGAGGATGGTGGTGATGCACTGGGAGGATGCGAGAGAGTGAGAGGGAGAGGGGTAGCGAGGGCAGGTGAGGGAGTGTGAGGGGGGGAGAAAGTGAGAGGGGGCGGGGAGGTGTTGGTGAGGGCAGGCGAGGGGAGGGAGGATGAGGGAGAGTGTGGCGGCAGGGACGACAGCCAGTCACTGTCGCTGTGGCCGCCGCTGCTCGTCATGTCCATGCTGCTGGTAGTGGTGGTGGTGGCGCTGGTGCTGGTAGCAGTGCTGGTGCTGGTGCTGCTGCTGGTGGTGGTGGTGGTGGCGGTGCAGTTGTTTGGCTGGCTGGGTTGCATGGGAAGGGGGGCGGCTCCAACATGCCCTTTCACTCCCATCGCTGCCCCTCCTCGTCCGCTCTCCTCCCCAACCCCAACCACCGCCTCACTCACAGTTGTGCCCGAATCGCCACACAGTGTATGAGCAGCAAGCGGGGCACGAGCGACCAGAGCACCCTCAGGCTCAGAATCACACACAGTGAACTCGTCCAGTGGCAGCTGCTCGCATGCCAGCAACCAATCAACCTGCCACTCCTGCTCCCCTCCCTGCTGCTCCCCCTCCGCCTGCTCCTCCACCACCTGCTCCTCTTTCGCCTGCTCCCCCTCCGCCTGCTCCCCTTCCCCCTGCTCCCCCTCCGCCTGCTCCCCTTCCGCCTGCTCCCCCTCCGCCTGCTCCCCTTCCGCCTGCTCCCCCTCTGCCTGCTCTTCCCCCGCCTGCTCTTCCTCCACCTGTTCCCCCTCCGCCTGCTCCTGTGCCACCTGCTGCCTAATCTGTTGCTCGCATGCCAGTAGCGTTTCCAACTCATCCCCCCACACCTCCTGCTCCTGCTGTTGCAGCTTCTCCTGTTGTTCCTCCACCATCTCCTCTACCGATTCCCCCTCCACCTCCCCTCTCTGCTCATCCTCACCACCACTACCCGCACTGTCGCCCGTCCCAGTGCCCATTAAAGCAGCAGCAGCAGTGAGGCTCACTCCCTCCTCCGCCAGCGAGCCAGGGGCAGCGAGAGCAGCGCAGGGCTCAGCAGTGGCACCACGTGGCAGCGAGTCACTGGAGGAGGGGGCCACGTGTGTGTGGGCGGAGGAGAGGAGAGGGCGGAGGGGTGCCGTGCTGTCAGCGTCAGGCAGCGAGTCCTTGGAGGAGAGGGCCGCGCAGGCGTGGATGAGAGTCTCCGCGATGGCGGGAGGCAGGGGCACCTGCGGACAGTATGGGGGGAGACGGCGGGGGAATAGGGGGAGACGTGATGAGTGTGTGTGTGCAGGGGGAACATGGTCAGGGAGAGGGAAAGGAGGGACAGAGAGACAAAGCGGGAACAGTTTTGAGTCGACTCAAAACTCTGACTCAGTGTGACTTTTCTCTCCTCGCCTCACCTTCAACCACTCGCCTCCTCGCCACCTCTACTCGCCTCGTCTTTCTCCCCTCTCCTGCCTCGCCGCGCCTCACCTCTCGCTGGTCGTCAGGGAAGTTCAGGATCGCGCCGTCGCCTCGCAGCAGTCGCACGGCGACGTCGTACACTCGCGCCGCCTGCTCCGCGCTGCTGTGCGACCCCAGCCAGATGCGCAAACCCCGCCGCGGCTCGCGGATCTCCGACACCCACCGCCCCCACCGCCGCTGCCGCACTCCGCGGTACTGCCGCTCCGCGCCAAGCGGATCGTCGCTCGTGGAAGGGGATTCCGCGGAGGGGACCGCGCTAGAGCGAGGCGCGCCGGAGGAAGGCTGCACGCAGCGCCGCTTGCGACTAGGAATCGACGAGCGCGCAGCTTTGTGCTTACGGCCTGTTACTACTACTCGCGGTTCAGTGGTCTCTTGTGTAGCTAATTGCCCGTAATAACACGGTGCTAGAACCTCGAGGCCTGTGTTCGAATCGACCTCCATTCGACTTCCAGTTGCAAATGTCAAATCCCTAGCTTTGACGAGAGGCGAGATTTACAAATTTGAAAACTTTGGTTCGAGCTAAGAAATAGGAGACGGGGAAAAGGAGGAGCAGCAGATATGGGATTGGCGAGACGAAGCAGGAGCCGTAAAAAATATGCGAATTGCCTCCCCTATTTCCCAAGTTCGTACGCGCTTGGAATAGCTCGTTTGGCCACATTTGAACTGCTGCGACTGCGACGGCGCTTGTGTTGTGCAGCACGACTGACATGTTCAGCGGTGTGCGATTCGCAGATGATGCTTCGTCGCTGTGCGAAACCGTTCAAGGAAGACTCGCTGCAGCTCCGCTGCTGTTGCGACGAGCAGACGACGACAAGCGGTGGGCATCGGTGGGGAGAAGCGCGGAACATTTCAAATAATCTGATTGGCTGGGAAGGACTGCGACGGTAAGTAAACGTCAGACGAAGAGTTCGGCGTCGCATGACCCTGTAACGCCGACACGGATTGGGTCCAGCATCACCGGAACTTTTTGGCCTGCCGCGTTTGACCAGACTCGTTTTCAAAACACTCTGAATTCCATTGTACAAGGGACTCGCTTACAGAACAAGTGTTCTATATAGTAGGCTAATTGCATGGTGCAATTCTTTGTCAACATTGGTTCTGTAACAGTTCGCCCAAAGCCATGTTGCAAAAGGGATGAGTGGTGAGCCTACAATTCTAAAATTAGGGTATATTACACGTTAGGCATTCACACCTTAATTAAGGCAGCGGTTCTTGCACATTGGCGAGACGGTTGAGGTGGAGATAGACGTCTGTGCCATAACCCTCCATTGACACCACCTGCAGGTCGCCTCCAAAGTAGCGCGCGTACAGCCGACTGATTGGCAAACCGTAGCCGTAGCCCGCCCTGCTCCATACAAGCACACGAAGCACCGTCACGTTCAAAACAAGCAAAAGCAAATATGTGCAAAGCACACGTCCTGGTAATGGGCTGTGTGGATGGTGTGGAAGGTGAGGGTGGAGAGTGCATGTACGGTCGGTAAGGTCGGAGAGTGCATGGAATTCTGGAGGCGCGATTTTGGTAGAAGCAGCACCCGACCACACACCCCACACAGCCCGGCCCACCCCACCAGCAGCACGCACATGATGGAGGGCGTGTCCTGCAGAGCGCCACATGCCTCACACATCACACGCACACCACACACCCCACCACCAGCACCGGCATGCACCCCACCAGCAGCAGCAGCACGCACATGCGGAGGGCGTGTCCTGCAGAGTGCCACATCTCTCACTCATGACGTACATAGTACACAGCCCCCCACACATCAACATTTCCCCACTCCCTCCCCCCAACCACCCCACCACCGGCACGCACATGATGGAGGGAGTGTCCTGCAGAGCGCCAGCAGCAGCAGGTGAGCGGGCTGTGCTGTAGAGATACGTCCAGATGCGCGGTAGACCACTGCGCGGGATACCACCCCCCTCGTCTGATATCTGAAAGGGGTGGGTGGGGTGGGGAGGACACACATCGCATGGGGGGAGATGGCATGGTGGTGAGTGAGAGGTGGCAGCAGGCAAGCGCGCCGTGCTGTAGAGGTATGTCCTGATGTGCGGTAGGCCACTGTGCGGGATGCCCCCTCCTTCATCTGATATCTGCAGGTAGAGGGACGCAGCACAGCATCGGGGAAACGAGGAGGGGGCGCAGCACAGGGGGAAAAGGGCGTGCTGGTGAGAGGGAGGCAGCAGGAGGCAGGCAGGTATGTCGAGCTGTGGACTCGGACGGGTTCAGATGCACGAGAGAGTCCAGTGCAGAACTCTCCTCTTGTCAAGCTGTAGACTCCTTATTTGATTGGTCATTGGGACATGAGGAGAGGAGGGAGGCAGGAAGGGAGGGGGTCGGGGGAGTTGGATGCGTGCGTGACAGGCAGCACAAATCCCCATATGCATTACACGACAACCACCACTTATAATCACGTTCCCCCAGCAACCACCTACCTTTATAGTCACATCCTCGATCCCATCCGCCACCACCACACGGATGGGCGGCGGGTCGGTGTCAGCATCAGCGAATCGCTCCTGCACGGCGCGTAGAGAGTTCTTGCACAGCTCGAACACCATCTGGTGCAGATGCGTTGGCACGTAGCTGCGGTGCAGTGCGGTGCAATGGGTTGCAGATGGTTGAGAAGGGAGAAGACGGGATGGGAGGGATTGAGGGGATGTCGCTCCTGCACGGCATGCAGGGACTTCTAGCAGAGCTCGAATACCATCTGGTGCAGATGAACTGGCACATAACTGCCGTGCAGTGCGGTGCAAAAGGGTGCAGATGGGTGAGACGGGAGGAGATGGGATGGAGGGGGGGAAGGGGGGGGATTGAGGGGATGTCGCTCCTGCACGCCGTGCAGAGAGTTCCTGCAGAGCTCGAACACCATCTGGTGCAGCAGATACGTTGGCACGTAGCTGCGGTGCGGTGCGGTGAAAGAGGGGTTCAGATGGGTGGGAGAACATAGAGACCAGAATGGCAGAGCGAATATGAGGCCAAGGAGAGGATATTTTGTTGCATAGGGTTTTCTCAGTTTTGGTGGAAGAAGTTTCATCTTTGTGTAGCAGATAATATAGGGTTGCAAGAGAGCTCGTACGTACAGCATTCATGCAAAGGGTTTCGGGTTTAAGGTTTCGGGTTTAGGGTCATGTGAGTGATGTGTGGGCAGGTGGTGCACGCACGCGAATGTGAAGTCGGGGTCCCCGTAAATTTCCACCTCAGGCGCCGAGCCATACGTGCGCATGCATGCCGACCGCGCATCATCCACTGCATTGCGCGCCACATCCACTGGCGATACCTTGGTGCAGATGAGGCTGAAAGTGGCCAGTGGGGGGGAGCGGGGAGGAAATGGATGAGAGCGCGCATCCTCCTTCCACTGCATTGCGCGCCACATCCACTGGCGACACCTTGGTGCAGATGAGCCTGGGCGTGGGGATAACAGGGGGGAAGGGAGGGGGAGGGGGGGTGGAGGAGACAGGAAGTCAGGCTGACAGGGGATGGGGTGAGACCGTGTGTCTTCCACTGCATTGCACGCCATGTCCACTGGAGACACCTTGGTGCTGATAATCCTGGGCGCAGCAGCAGGGGGACAGAGGGGGCAAGCAGGGAATGGCATGATGAGAGTGCGCTGTGCGTTACCCCTTGACTGCATTGCGCGCCACATCCACTGGCGACACCTTGGTGCAGATGAGCCTGGGCGCAGGGACAAGGGGGGGGGTGGGGGAGGGGGAGGTGGAGGAGACAGAAAGAGAGGCTGAGAGGGGATGGCGTGAGAGCGCGCCACATCCACTGGCGACACCTTGGTGCAGATGAGCCTGGGCGCAGCAGCGAGCAGGGTGGGAGATGGGGGAAGTGGGGGAGGAGGTGAGGGTGTGAGAATCCGGGGGAAAGGAGAGGGGATGGAAGGAGGGGAAGGTGTAGACAGGCTGTGCAGGGATGGGGTAAGAGTGTGGATCCTGCTGCGCGTTGCATGACACATCCACTGGGAACGCCTTGGTTCAGATGAGGCTAGGAACAACTGAGGGGAGAGTTGAGAGGAGGAGTGAGGAGGTGGAGGGGGAGGGAACTGGGGAAGTGAGAAAGACAGGAAGAGAGGGGAGGAGATGAGAGCATGGATCTGTGCTGAGTTGCATTGCATGCCGCCACATCCACTGGGGGGAACATGAGGCTGGGGGGATGTGATGGCAACAGGCACTTGCTGCATGCCGGGCTGCACCCACTGGGGTTACTAGTGCATGCGGTCCAGTGCATGCGGTGGAAGAGAGAGAGAGAGAGCCGCAATGAAGTGGGGGGAGAGAGGCGCACCCAATGAAGTGGGGGGAGAGAGGCGCACCCAATGAAGTGGGGGGAGAGAGGCGCACCCAATGAAGTGGGGGGAGAGAGGCGCACCCAATGAAGTGGGGGGAGAGAGGCGCACCCAATGAAGTGGGGGGAGAGAGGCGCACCCAATGAAGTGGGGGGAGAGAGGCGCACCCAATGAAGTGGGGGGGCGGGTTGGGGTCGTGCAGGGCGACGTGCTGGCCAATGAGCATGCGGATGCCGATGCGTGACATGTAGAATCGGTCCTGATGGGCGGGGTGGCAGGGAGGAGCGGCAGGGGGAGGGGTGTGGGGAAGGGACAGAGAGCAGATTACAGCACTAGCAGCAGCAGAGAGAGTCTTGGCCCAGACATGCTGGCCGATGAGCATGCGGATGCCGATGCGTGACATGTAGAACCGATCGTGGTGGGCGTGGGCCGGGGAAGTAGGGAGGGGGGAGTGGGCAGGGAGAGGGGCGCATGAGACAGAGAGATGAACATGCAGCCATGAGAGACGCGCCCATGCAGCCTTCCCAGTGCTGGCCAATGAGCATGCCGATGCGTGACATGTAGAAGCGGTCCTGGTGGGTAGGGGTAGGGGCAGGGGCGCAGGGACGAGCGTGTGGAGGGGTGTGGGGCGGGGAAGCGGGCCAGGGGGGCAGCAGAGCGCAGCGAAGCACACTTTCCCAGACAGCGGTGACAGTTACACAGCTTAACAGGCACGAGGCACAACTGAATCTCTCCAACAAAGGTTGTGCGATGCAAGTTGGTGACAGCAGAGTGAGTGGGGGAGAGTGAGGGGAGTGAGGGGTGTGAGGGGTGTGAGGGGAAGAGAGTGAGGGGAGTAGGCAGGGAGGGCATTGAGAGGCGGAGAATGAGGGGAGTGAGGGCAGAGGTGGCAATGAGGGAAGGCGAGTGAGGAGAGTGAGGGTCATGAAGGCAGTGCGGGCATTGGTGACAATGGGTGGGCAATGAGAGCAGTGTGGCAGGGGTGGGTAGGCAGTGACGGCAGGGGTGGCAGGCAGGGCAGGGAGGGAGGGAGGCAGGGAGGACAGGGGGGGCCGTACGAGGAACTGGTGGATCTCCAGCAGGTCGTCGAGACGCCCCTTGCGCCCCAGGTCCTGCTTCAACTCGTTGATTCCCATCGCCATCTGGTGTGCCATGCCATCACATAGTGTGCGATGATGCGCCATGCCATGCCGAGCCATGCACGTTATGCCATGCCATGCCAAGCCATGACATGCCAAGCCATGCCATGCCAAGCCATGCCATGCAACACACATTACAAGGAGGTGAATGAGGCTCACCTTGTGATGCGTCACAATGCGAGCAAGCTCATCACCACAACACATCAAGCTACCAGGTCACCGAGGGAACGGCCCTGTTGACACATGGCATTCTCGTCGTTACGACCCCCCGAAAGGTGAGTCATGAAAGGTCCTCCTGGAAGCAGCCTCATCAGCAGCTCACATTAGGGGAACAATTGTGCTTTTGAGTCGACCCAGTTGTATTTACATCCAGGGTGGGGATGGCTCACCGTGGGGATGGCTCACCGTGGGGATGGCTCACCGTGGGGATGACGTTGTTGTGTCGCATCTTGACCCGCACCAGCAGCTGCGTGAAGCTCAACTCGCCCTGTCCACAACACAGGGGAATGGCCTTTCCCCTCCAACCCAACCCAACCCAACCCAACCCAACACACAGCGACGCACCGTGAGGATGACGTTGTTGTGGCGCATCTTGACCTGCGCCAGGTGCAGCTCGTGCTGTCCTGTCCACAGCTACCCAACCCAGCACCCTCTCACGCACCGTGGGGATGACGTTGTTGTGTCGCATCTTGACCTGCGCCAGCAGGTGCGTGAAGCGCAGCTCCTCCTCGCGGCTCTCAATGGCCGGGAACCCGCGGATGTCCTTGAATGAGTCCACGTACCAGTCGCGCACCTGTCAGGGCACGCACACATGCATCGGGACAGGGTGAATGAGTAAGGGAAGTGGGTAGAGAGGGTCCAAGGGAGTGAGACAGCACCCGCGGATGTCCTTGAACGAGTCCACGTACCAGTCGCGCACCTGCACGCACACATGCACGGGGATGAGAAGAATGCGCGAGGACAGAGGGGGAGCAGGGCACGAGGGAGTGAGTGAGAGCAGGAACACGAGGATGCCCTTGAACGAGTTCACGTACCAATCGCGCACCTGCCAGGGCACGCACGCACGCAAGGAACAAGCAGAATCAGTAAGGTAAGGCGGTAATGCGGGCCCAAGGGAGGGAGAAAGGGAGGCCCCGGATATCCTTGAATAAGTCCATGTACCAGGCCCGCACCTGTGAGGGAAAGAGGGGGCAGGGGAATGAGTCAGGTATGGGAGGTCAGAGTGCGAACAGCCATGGCAATGAGAAGGTGAAACCGTGTATGTCCTTGAACGAGTCCACGTACCAGTCCCGTACCTGGGCGGAGAAGAGGGGGAAGCAGCTCACCTTGAGCACGGGCGCACCTTGGACACGGGCGCACTTTGAGCACGGGCGCACCTTGAGCACGGGCGCCTTGGTGGAGAGGCCGTAGGGGAGGTTTTCGAGCTCGGTGCGCGAGGCGCACGGGCAGCATTCACCTTAAGCCCGGGGAGGGGCGACAGAGGGAATTAGCTGACCTTGAACCCAGACGCACCTTGAGCACGGGCGCTTTTGTGGAGAGGCCGTAGGGGAGGTTCTCGAGCTCGGTGACGCGGTGGGCGAGGCGCACGGGCAGCTCCTGCTGCAGGAACTGCGCGGAGGAGAGCAGATTGCGCTCCGTGGGGAAGGCGCCGTGCGCCATCATGTTCTTGAGGCTCACGCCCGTCTGCTTCTTGAACGAGCACCGGTAGATCTGTGGAGGGTGCGGGGAGGAGTATACGCGTGAGGTGCTGCAAAAGAGAGGCTGTGGACTGCGGGGAAGGCGCCGTGTGCCATCATGTTCTTTAAGCCGTCTGTTTCTTGAACGAACACCGGTAGATCTGGCCGCAGGGGTGGAGGAGGGTAAGGTGGGGGGTATACGTGTGAGGTGCCTCGAAAGTGAGGCTGCGGATTGAAAAGAATGCGCCGTGCGGGATCATGAAGCTCACGCCCGTCTGCGCCTTGAACGCGCACCGGTAGATTTGGCGGCGCAGGGAGAGGATGCGGGGAATGGCGATGATGTAGAGGGGGAAGACGGGGAGAAAGGCGCGAGAGTGTGAAGAGAGGAGGGAGAGGAAACGGGAGAGAAGGTGTAGCTTGGAGTATGCGTGAGAAAGCATACGAAATGCGATAGCAGAAGCGAGAGAAACGGAGAGAAGGAGGGCGGGGGAGAGAAAGGGTAAGGGTGTACGGCTTACGTCAGCGACGACATTTGATGGTAACACTTGCGCCAGCTTTCGCGCTGACGTTCGCGCAGTCATGACGGACATCGTCGCGGGAGCAGATGGGTTCTAATGATGAACTACTATCTAAACGTATGCAATGTACTGTACAATGCGCGGCTGAACATTCTGTGTGCGCGGGAAAGCTGGGAAAAAAACAGCGGAAGCGGACTGACTAGCACCAGCAGCCTATCCGTCTATCCTGCGCTCTGTGTTTGGAACGTAGCGGTATCTCCGCCATGGAAAAATTTGTTAAGGACACGAATGTGGGAAGCAGATGTGCTAAACTTGCAAGCAAATAGCGCTCGCACACACGCACGGACGGTCAAGGGAACAGCTATTCCTCGAGAGGGGAAAAGAAGGAAGCGTTCGAGAGATTCAATGGTTTCACAAGCCAAACTGGATGCAAATCAAGCCCGAGGAATGGCTGAAGCGTAGCTATAAGCTAACGAAACCGCTGTGATCATGCAGGATCATGGACAGTCGAATAGGTTATGGCGATCGCTTGCAGCAACTGACGATTTGTCCAGGATTCAGGAAAGCCGTGTATGTGGTGAGCGGTGTGACGTGGTGCACGTGGTGAAACAATCAGCCATTTGAGTTTCAATGAACCGCTCTGAAACGTACAGGATCATGCTAAATCGCCTAAGATGGTACTAATCAAACATCCAAATTATTTTCCGCTCACATTCAGCCACGTGGGCCAAAGGTTCCCAGCCGCCAGGATGCCCAGTGAAAACTCGTGGTGGTGAAGGAAAGGTGGAAAATCGCGACCAAGTGGTACGAGAGAATATGTAACACTCCCTATTGAACAATAGACTCCTCAACCCATGTGGAGTGGCACTAGAAGCAAGGTTGCCAGTATTGTGCATAGACTATTGGTCACACCATCACTTATGGGTACGGTTTAATGAGAAAGTGAGTGAAATATTAACAATTCCACTGCAAAAAAAAGCATATTTTATTTGTCAGATAGACACTCGTTTTGTGTCACACTACACTACACGATCTATTAATAAAAGTAGCTAAGAGCTGCTTTTAAATGAAGAAAAGAGGCACTAAGAATTTCCCCGAGTGGATCATAAAGGGACTCGCTTCCCTTTGTTGACGTGGCATGTTCAATGGTGTGCTACGCCAGTTGCTGCCAAGGCTTTAGGCAGATTTGGCCTGGCAAACTGGCACAAAGCAACCCAGGTCATGTTTGTAAACTTCCACAAGCGGACCCTTCGTTCTTGTTTGAGGGTTTGGATCACATCGTGCTCAACTTTGTAGCAGTTTTGACAACTGTCCTTCGAGCGAATGCGCCCTTGGGATTCTGGCTTTGCCGACCCCTTTGCGCCCCGTCAGACATCAAACATTTCTTGCTCAGAGGGAACAGCGCGATTCGAAATTCGTCTGAGGCCGAAAAAATCCCGTTCTTCCCTTGCTGTCCGTACTCCCCCTGTGGAGCCGCTGCGGCGCCATGGGATTCCCGCTCGTTTCATCTGCTCAAGGCAGTCAGCGCACCCACAGCTTATCCCACAGGCCCGTTCGACGATCGCGAAATCCACTTGCTTCCTTGCATCCAGCTATCACTATATAATCTTACTTGACTTCCAACGATAGTCACCAAACCTTCACGCCTAGTGATTCCTCTCCTGTCCTCGAAACACTCTCTATACGCTCAGTTTTCTGTGACACTGACCTGAGCGCTCTCATAGAGTTTCACGTGCAAGCCACCATGAGGAGTCTCAAGTGTCTCTATCTGCTGTTCGCTCTCTCCCTTCTTCTGTCCCTCGTGCTCGCGCCACTGTGCCACGCGAATGGGATCGCGAACGACGCCGAGGACGACGACGATTTTGACGACGATGACGACAACGCCCTTGTCGCATCTTCGCCTGGTAAGATCCCCGCCGTACATTTTGTTCCACTGAACAAACAAGGACATTCCACACGAATTCCACACGTGGGCCACCACCCGCAACCTTGATTACATCATCGGCCCGGTTTTTTTAGATATTATGATTCTTCAATCCACTTCGCCTTTGTTTTATTAATTCCAGGTTTCTTGGGCGCGCTCGTCAGCGGAAGCCGCCGGTTTCTGTGGTCGCCGCAGGTGCACCGCGTGCTAGCGAGCTCGGAGTGCAAGAAGAAGTGCGACAAGAAGAAGAAGAAGTGCAAGTCCAAGAACTCCGACTGCAAGTCCGACGCGGACAATAACGAGGACAAGGGCGAGTGCAAAGACAAGTACAAGAAGTGCAAGGACAAGGCCAAGAGGTGCAAGGAAAGATGCGACTAGGTCAGGTTTGCCGCAGCAGGGGGGGTTGCGAGGAGTGGTGCTCGCACTGAGAAAATTGAGATGAGTTGAAACGGTGGTAGGTTGAAAGTTGGAACCTTGCCAACTTTAGTCTCGTCATGTATTTGTTGTTACTAGTTTTATTTCCTTTCAGAAGAGAAGAGCCGGATCTGTTCAGTGATTCTCGCACAGAACGATGTGCAATGGATACTGGGAATTAGCAGTTGCCCACAAACCCACACCTTCGCAGGGAATACAATAAGCAAGCTGGCTGGTTGGAGCTGGTGATGTAGTTTCAGCATACCATGATAATGGCTTTGTGATGTTACGAGACTTGAAAATACGTGCAAGAACGAGGTAAGCTATGAAGAACTGGATGAGATACTGTGATAGGAAAGTGTCTGACTCTGGTTTGTGTTTTTCCGAATAGTCATATTGACTTTCCAGCCTCTTGTATGCCTCAAGGTTTGTTTTCTTTTCTAATTCTGTAGCACTCTGCTGCGTCAGACATGAGTGCTCATGTAACAGCAACTGCAGATGCTGCTATTGTTTTGACAGTAACACCAGAGAGCTGTGTTACTAGTTGTAACTGCAGCAAAGGGCTCTACTGCACTGCAATCTGTCACAGCATCTCCAGACAAAGCAGCTATTGCGTCACCAGCAACAGAGATTGCCGCTTTTCACAGCAGCAAGTTACCATGGCCTGCTGCTCTAGCATCAGCAACATCAATACTAGCTCGTCACAACATTATAAAACTTGGTGGCTTTTGTCGCGGCAGCGAGTTTCAGCATTGCTGAAACAGCAGCAATTGATACAGGAGGACCAGACACCACTTGATATTGATACAGCAGTGCCAGACACTGCAGCTATTGTCATGGAAGTTAGAACAAGTACTACACCACTGCAGCTGCTATCATGACGACGGCAAGTAAAACTCTCCAACAAAAGCACTTTAAACAGCATCAAATTCTGCCCTCGTATCTTACCGGATTTTAGCCTTCGCCTTGTATATTCACTTTGTCATGAGCTAGTCCATTGGTTATGATGTGAATGCCATGTATGAAATATTACTCAAAAATAGGATGGATATCCTTGCACACTGACGCTTGCGTGTACACTTTGCTAAAATCGAACTTTGGGCGGGGGTTTTGCCCCAACCAAAGGTCTGGGGCGTGGGAATCGTACGCGCTAAAGTACAGATGCGGAAAATGGTCAAACCCGTACACATCCCACTCAACGCAAATTTCAGCAACGAACTCTCCTCTCCTCTTCACTCAAATCAATCCACTCCCGACATTCTCGCATCCGCAAAACTACCCCAGAACCTCATTCCCTACTATTTCCAGCCGCGATGTTTGGCATTATCACGCGCCGCTATGACTGATCATTCCATCGGTCCTAGCAAAGTTCGCGGTGGACACCAACTACCCAATTAAAGTAAACGTGGTTCTGTAGCAGGTGGTGTTTGAGAATTTGCAAGAACCTTCCGCGACGCCATGAACCATCAGATCCCTCCCTCGGGGCCAGCGGAGCTCGCGGTGGACCCCGAATACCTCCTTAAGGTGAACGCTTTCATTCGCCAGCGCCGCCTCGAGCTGCTCGGCCCCGACAACATCGCGCCCGTCTCCGCCGTGCAGGTCGCTCCGCCACGCCACCCCCCTATCCAACCGCACCAGCACCCTATCCAACCGCACCAAACCCCTATCCAGCCGCAAATAGAACCCCAACACACTGCGCTGGTTGGCCCCGCCAGCATCGCGCCCGTCTCCGGCGCGCAGGTAGCTCCGCCGCCCCATCCAAACCCTGCCGCTTTAGCCGCCAGCGATCCATCTGCTCCGCGATTCGCTCAGCCCGCTACAGTCGGCTTCGGGAATGCCGCGGCTGATGGCGCGTTGTCCGCCGTTGGATCGTCAACGAGGCCGGCGATCAACGGTGCGCCGGCGGATGGGCTAGAAGATGGCAATATGAGGGCCAACGGCGGGACGAGCCTCCCTGCTGCTGCAGCAGTACCGTCAGTGACGACTGCTGCAGTACCGGCAGCCACAGCCCCTTCAGTGGCAGCTGCTGCAGTACCCACACACACAGCCCCTTCAGCTGCTGCTGCTGCTGCTGCTGTTGTTCCTGCTGCCGCAGCGGTTGCGGCTGCAGCTGCTGTTACATCGAGCGTTGCTTCTCAACCCGTCATCAATGCTGCTGCCACTCCTCCGACTCCCATTGCACCGCCTTCGACCCATCCCTCCGCGAGTGCTCACTCCGCTGCCACGTCAGCAACGACTGCTGCTCCCGTCGTGACAGCTGTCCCTACTGCCGGCGCGGACGCAGCAGCTGCGGGATCGTCTGTTGCCACGGAACCCACTTCTGCTCCGGATCTCAATGCTGCTGCTACCGCCGTCCGTGTCCCTGCGCCGTCCCTGCATGCTACTGCTGGCGTTGCTGCTGCGCCTGGCGCTGCTGTTGCGCCTAGCGCTGTTGCTGCGCCTGGCGCTGCTGTTGCGCCTAGCGCTGCTGCTGCGCGCGCCACACCGAGTCCTGAGGCGGGGCAACCCGCTCATGCTGGCGCAGCGATGGCTGGCGCGCTGCTGCAGCAGCAGCAGGGGCGACAGGCGGAGGGAGACGCTGGCGCGCGCAGGCAGGGGAGCGCGCATGGAGGCCCGCAGGGCGATAGAAAGGCGGGTGCTTCTAACGGGAGTGTCTCTAAAGGGGGAGGTGAGGGGGGAGAGGGGGAGGAGGATGAGGGGAGTGGTGATGGGGATGGCGGGGGAAGGCGAGGAGGTGGGCGGAGGGGTGGGGGAGGGAGCGGGGGAGGAAGAGGGGGCGGAGGTAACAGAAGGGGAGGGGGAGGGGGAGGGGGAGGGGCGGGGGGTTCTTCGTCTGGGGGAGGGCGGGGAGGGGGAAGCAGGGGGTACGGGGGAAGGGGAGGAGGGGGTGGAGGAGGCGGAAGGGGAGGCGGGTGGAGGGGGGGAGGGGGGAGAAGGGGGGGAGGGAGTAGGTCGGCGGATGGGGGAACGGCCCCTGGGGCGTCGGGGGAAGAGGCGGAGGGGTGGGAAGAGTATGCGGGGGACGGGGAGGAGGATGGAGGGGAGTGGATGGCTGGGGAGGAGGTTGTGGGGGAGGGGGAAGGGGACGGGGAGGGGGAAGGGGAGGAGGAGCAGAGGGGTGGGGGCATTGATGAGCGGGAGGAGGAGGGGAGGGAGGAAGAGGAGAGAGGGAGAGAGGAGAAGGGGCATGAGCAGGCGAATTCTGAGAGAATGACTTTGGGAAACGGGGTAGGGGACGGGAGAGGGGGTTTAGAAGGGGGAGAGGGGGGAGAAGGGGGAGAAGGGGGAGACGGGGGAGAAGGGGGAGACGGGGGAGAGCGGGGAGAGGGGCAAGAGTTGCGAGAGGGGGTGGTAAAGAGGGAGGAAGCGGCGGAGCAAGGGCAGGTGATGGAGGAGGGGAGGGGAGGGGGGGACGTGGAAGAGGAGGGGGAGAGGCTAGGAGATGAGAGGGTGGCAGACGGAGCATTGGAAGGGACCGAGATTGCAGGAGAGGGAGGTTCAGGCGGAGGTGAAGCAGGAGAGTGTGCTGCAGATGAAGCGAGCGCGGATGGGGAGTGTGGCGCGAAGGAGGAGAATTCTGGGCCGACTCAAGAGTCGCCTTGTGCTGCGTGTACGGATGGGGGGTGTGGGAGTGGGACGGAGGAGGAGAAGGGCGAGGGGGTGGAGCGTGAGGAGGGGGAGGAAAGAGGCGGTGGAGAGGAGATAGCAGCCGAGGCGGGGAGTGGGGAGAAGGAGAGGGAGAACGTGGAGGAGAGAGAAGGAGAGGAGCGGGGAAGAGAAGTGAGTGAAAATTTGGAGAGGGGTGTCGAAAGGGAGAGGGAGGAGGAAGGGGAACGGCAGCAGGAAGGAGAAAAGGAGCAGGAAGGAGTGCCGGAAAAGGAACAGCAAGGGGAGGGGGAAGGGGAGAACGGAGAGGAGCAGGAGAGGGTGGAGGATGATAGGCAGGATGTGAGTGGGTCAGGAAAACCACCAGTTGAAACGAGTCGATTGACAGATGCTGCCTCGTGCTCTCCCTCTGCTCCTTCTCTCCCGGAGACCGCGGCAGATGCCTCTCCGACTCCTGCTGTTGCCTCCGCTCCTCTGGCTATAGCTGCTGGGAGTGCTGCGGCGATTCCCGCAGCGAGTGCGGATAAAGAGGGGATTCGTGGCATTGCAGATGGGTACGGTGCGGTGGGTGGCGGCAGAGGGTGCACCCCGCTGGTGGCAGAGGCAAGTGAGGAGCAGCAATCTCACACATTGCCAGCGAACACGCTGCACACACAGTCACAGACAGAGACATGCGAGCAAGCGGCAGGCTGCCTTGTCCCCTCCGCCCCAGAGTCGCCTTCCCTCCTCCCAGCCTCACCAGCAGCTGCTGCCGCCTCTCCTCTCCCTACTACAGCCTCTCTCTCCTCAGCCACCCCTCCCTCCGCCACACCTCCTCACCCCTCTTCTTCTCCTCTCCCCGCTTTTCCATACTCCCTTGCTCCTGCAACCCTCCCCTCTGAGAATTCCTCTCCCCAGCCAACCCCCGCCCCTTCAGAGGCGTCCCCCCAGCCAGTCCTTTCCCCCGCTGCAAGCACAGCACCTGGCACCCCAGCCGCCCCTGCACTGCCAGAATCATCATCATCAGCAGCAACAGCTGATTCCCCCCATGGGGTTCCAGACGCAGAGAAGGGCATTCTTGGCAAAGGCTACGGACCCCCTCTCACCCTGCCCATGCCCATACCTCTGCCCATGCCTATGCCTCTGCCTGTGCCTCTGCCTGTTCCCCCTGGTGTTAGCGCCATGCAGTGCGCGCCTGGGGGCTGGGCTGGTGTTGCTGCTGATGCTGCATGGCATGCCATGCCTGCTGGCATGCCCGGGCACGGAGGGGGTCCAATGGCCGTGCCGGGAGGGGTGCCCATGCCTATGCCTCCTGTGCATGGGGAAATGTACATGCCCATGCATGCCGCTTGTGCTGCAGGCGTGGGCGCAGGCATGGGCGCAGGCATGGGAACAGGTATGGAGATGGGTATTGGGATTGGTAGGGAACCGTGCATGGGTATGGGCATGGGCACAGACATTGGGTCAGGTATGGGTATGGAAGCAGGGTCGTCTGGTTGGGGCAGGGATGTGAGGGCATGGCAGGGGCAGGGGGCAATGGAGGCCACTGGCTATGTAGCTGAGAAGGAGTGGGGGATGAGTGGAGAGGCGGGCAGAGCGGAGAGTGTGGGTATGGGGAAGGGAGGGGAGGAGGAAGGAGATGGATGGGTGGGGTCGACGATGGTGGGTGCTGAGGGTGGGACAGGTTGTGGTGTGGTTGGGAAAGGAGGCAGAGGAGGAGGAGGCGGAGGAGGTGGGGGAGTAGGAGCAGAGGGAGGAGGTAACAGTGGTAAGAGAGGAGGGAGAGGATCAGGAGGAGCAGGGTCAGCCACGTGTGCAGCACCTGTCCACGTGTACTCCTTTGAGCAGCTCAAGCAGATCGGGCTGCAATCCGTCCAGTACCAGCGTGACACGTGGCGCACCATGAATGGCAGCACGCAGCTGGCTGTGGAGGAGCTCATGAGGGACGTGGCAAGAGGGGGGGGAGGGGGAGGGGGCGGGGGAGGCGCAGGGGGAGGCGGAGGTGGGGGAGGGGGAGGGGCGGGGGAGAAGGGGTCAAGGCGTAAGGGGCGGAAGAATGCAGGGGGGCAGGAGCAGAGCAGGAGAGGAGGGAGGGGGCGGGGGAACGCGCATCGGGAGAGCAGCAGCAGCAGCAACAACAGCAACAGTAACGGCGGCAGTGGTGGTGGAGGTGGTATCTGGGGCAGTCCGAGTGGGCGTGGGGGAAGTGAGGCGATGCCAAGTACTGAGACGCACACGGCAGGCTGGGCAGCTGAGGCCAGAGGGTATGCTGCTGCTGCTGCTGCTGCCGCTTCTGACGCTGCTGCCACTGTTGCAGGTGCTGCCTCTCCTGCTGCTGGCGCTTCTGTCACCGGTACTGCTGCTGTTGCAATTGCAGCCACTGCTGCTACCAGCAGCGGGGAGGGTGGTGGTGGTGCCACAATGGTGACTGGTGCAACAGAAGAGGCTTCCATTATTGGAAACGCTGACCATGCATGCCTTTCCAGGACCACAGATGATGCTACTGGCACCCCTGCCACCACAGCAGCTGCTGCTGCCGCACAACCAAGGGGAGAAGAGGTGGGGGAGGCAGGGCAAGCAGGTGATGGTGAGATAGGCAAGGCTGGGCCGACACAGAAGATGGATGAAGAAGCCGTGAGCAACGCAGCCGATGCCAATGCTGCTGCTGCTGCTGCTGCCACTGCTGCCACTGCTGTGGGTGTTGCTTCTGCTGTTACTGCTTCTGCTGGCGTTACTGCTGGTGGCAGGTGGGATGGTCTGAATGTGTGTGGAACGACCGAGTCACAGTGCCGACCACGCCTAGAGGAGGAGCGGTGGGGGGGACAGTGGGGCAAGCAGCAGGGGGGAAAGCAGGAAGCGCGGCAGCAGGAGGAGGAATGGGAGGAGGAAGAAGAGGAGGAGGAGGAGGTGCAGGCGAGGGCTCTGCCGGTGTATGGCGAACCGGACTTCTCCATTCCTCATCCCCTGGACGGGTTGGAGTACCTCCGGCGTGTCAGGTGAGGAGGGGGGGATGTACGTACTGACGAAGAGGTATGAAGAGTGAGTAGAGTGGAGTGGACAGAGGAGGTGCAGGCGAGGGCTCTGCCGGTGTATGGCGAGCCGGACTTCTCCATTCCACACCTCCTGGACGGGTTGGAGTACCTGCGGCGTGTCAGGTGAGGCTGGTGTTGGTAGTGCTGGCTGGCAGGCTGGTTCGTTTTGACACGTCTCAACTCAAAACAGACTTCTCCATTCCACGCCCCCGGGATGACCTCGAGTACCTGCGCCGCGTCAGGTGAGGGGTGCTAGCAGGAGGGAGGGATTTCATGATCGTATAGCACAAGCCCTTTAAAGGTGGATGTTTTCAACAATCCCTGTTTCCAAGTCCAGGGTAGGAGAGTCTAACTTGTGCCACCACTCAGAACAGGAAATTATACTCCATTTCCCTCGTTCCTCCATTTGTTTTCTCAACTCCCGTCACTCCAAATCCCCTCAAATCCCGTCACTTCACGCGTTTCCTTTCCTCGCCTCCTCCCGCCTCCCATGCCTCTCTGGTCCGCCCTGTGCAGGTGGGAGCGGGAGCGACTTTTGAGGCGACTCCAAAGTCAACTCTTTCCTCGCCTCCTCTCGAATCCCTTCCCCTCTTCTCTGGTCCGCCCTGTGCAGGTGGGAGCGGGAGCGTGTGCCCAAGGTGGTCGTCGCAGCAGCCAATGAGAAGCCACCACCTGGCGGCAATCCCACTAGCAGCACTGACGACAGCAGAAGCAGCAGCAGCAGCGGTGCCCCAGTGGCCCTGTCTGCCCGCTACCTGCCGCGAGTGGCTGCTGTGCCTGCCTGCCCCGCCCTGCTGCTGCCCTCCCCTGAGTGGCGGCAGTACGTGCAAGCCGCCTTTGGTTACCTGAGACAGGTGGGTGGTGTTCTGCTCTGCTGCCTGGGTTATGTGTTTTTACTTTCTGTGCTGCGTCAGGTGAGTGTTGCATGTGCCTGCCTGTCCCCGCCCTGTTGCTGCCGTCCCATGAGTGGCGGCAGCACATGCAAGCTGCATTCGGGTACCTGCTGCGCCAGGTGGGTGCTGTTTCCTGGGGGGATTCTTGCTGTGCTTTGCTGTGCTGTGCTGTGCTGTGCTGTGCTGTGCTGTGCTGTGCTGTGCTGTGCTATGCGGTGCTGTGCGGTGCGGTGCTGTGCTAAACTGTGCCTGCCTGCCCCGCCCTGCTGCTGCCTTCCCATGAGTGGCGGCAGTACGTGCAAGCTGCCTTTGGATACCTGCGCCAGGTGGGTGCCTTTCTGCTGCGCCAGCTAGATGTTTCCCTGCCGCCCGAGGTGGGTGCTGCTGTGCATGGCATGGTGCCAGGTGGGTGGGTGCTGTTGTGCATGGCATGGCGCCATGTGGGTGCTGCTGTGCATGGCATGGTGCCATGTGGGTGCTGCTGTACTGTAAGGCGCCGCACAGGTGGGGGGCGGGGCTTACCGGTGGCTGATTGCCTTCGTGATTAACGGAGGGGGTACGAGGACATCCTGTGAGGGGTGAGATTAATACGGTTCTCATTAACCAAACTCTCTGCTGCCCGACTCTACACCACACCACCCCACTCAATCCCCCTCTTACCACTCTGTCCCACTCTACCCCACTCAATCCCCCTCTTACCACTCTGTCCCACTCTACCCCACTTCTTCCCATCATCCCCACCATTCTTGCAGAGCCTTGAAGGCGTTGACGAATCACGAGTCGCCACGTGTCACGGCATGCCCATCCCATCCCACCGCGACCTGCACGCGTGGCACTCCTACTGCTTCGGCCGTGCACTGCCTTGTGAAAAAGGGGAGGGGGGCGAAGGGGCAGTGCGGGGAGGGGGTGTCAAACTGAAGGCGAAGAGGAGATCGGGAAGGAAGGCGGGTGGTAAGGGTGAGGGAGAGGATTGCAGAGAGGTGAACCAAGGGGAGGGAAGCGAGAGAGGAGAGAGTGAGGGTGGAGAGAGTGACGAGGAGGGAAGCAGAGAGGGGGAAGGGGATGTGGATGGGGATGATGAGGAGAAGGATTTGATTGGAGAGGAGGAGGGGGGTGCGTGGGAGGAGGACGTGGATGGGGAGAGAGGGGGGGATGAGGGAGTGGACGAGGTTGGGGGTGGAGGAAGGGAGGAGGAGGTGGGTGGTGAAAGAGGAGAGGATGAAGCGAAGGGTGAAAAGGGAGAGGAAGAAAAGGAGGATGGTGGGGAGGGGAAGACGAAGGAGGGGGGTGAGGTTTGTTGTGGTTCGGAAGCAGAGGGTGGAGGGATGGAGGATGGAGGGAAGAGGGAGATCGAGTGTGTGGAGAAAGATGGAGGAGAGGAGAGAGGTGAGGGAGGGGAGGCATGTGAAGCAGGAGCTTATGGGAAGGTGGAAGGCGGGAGTTTGAGAGAGGAGGCGGAAGGTGATGCCAGTGCGAGCGTGCATGACATGGTATGTGACACTGCACATGACACTTCACATGACACTGCACATGATACTGCACATGACTCTTCACTTGACACTGCATGTGACACTGCATCGGGTGTGAGTGAGAGCGAACAGGTAAAGCAGCAGCAAGGAGAGGGACGAGGGGAAGGAGAGGCGCCCAGGGGCCTGGCGCTGCTGCTGCCGTGTGTGACTGCACAAGCGCACAGCAAGGCACCCTCAGAAGGAATCTCAAGAGGGCTCACAGAAGGGCTGCTGGAAAAGCTGTCAGATCAACTGCCGGAGGGACTTTCGGTAAAGGGGCTTTCTGTGACGGACCCTGAAGGAGTTGCAGGGGGGACGGAGGAGGAGAGGGTGGTTGCAGAAGGGGAGACGGCAGGTGATGGTGTGGCAGGGGATGATGTGGCAGGGAATGATGTGGCAGGGGATGGTGTGGCAGGGGATGGTGTGGCAGGGAATGATGTGGCAGGGGATGGTGTGGCAGGGGATGGTGTGGCAGGGGATGTGATGGAAAGGGGCGATGGAGGTGTGGGTTGTGATGGATTGGAGGCAAATACGGAGCTCGGTGCTACAGATGTTGTTGCTACAGATGTTGGTGCCATGGATGCTGCTACTACACCAACAGCAACTGCTGAGGATAACAGTTTGACTGACGGCGGTTATGATGTAGATGCTGATTTGGATGCCAACGCTGATGTGGACACGGAAGATGATGCTGAGGTGGACGCTGACGTGGAAGCAGCACTGGATGAGATGATCAACTACTCGGGACCCCTGCCTCTGTGGGTGCCAGATAATGACGAAAGCAGCAACCCTGGTCTTGATCCATTTGAAGACTATACTGAGCAACCATCCATGCCCGTGCCATGGCCGTCAGATGCTGACGTGGCAGCCATGGAGTGCGTGCTCCCGGGCCGGGCCAATCAGCTCGCTCCGTTGCTCGGCACAGTGCTGCACTGTGACGCGGTTGGTCGCGCCGCGCTCCTCCGCGCCCATGTGGACTGGGCCATCGGCCAATCAGCAGTCGACACGTGGCGCGGCATGTGGCTGGTGGCGTGGGCGGCGGGGGTGGACGAGCCAACAGAAGCGGAGACTGCAGCATCACTGCGAGAGCTGCTGAGGAAGTGTGCTGGGCTGAGGGCTTCGATACAGTCACGCGAGGACCAAGGGCTGGAAATGCTGAATGTGCTTATAGAGATTGCAGGGGCGTATTTCAAGCAGGGGTCCAAGGAGGAGATGGAGCAGGCTGTGTGGGAGGAGCAGGAAGGTATTGACGGGGAGGGAATGGCAAGATGGGGAGAAGAAGGAGAGGAGGAAGGGTCTGGGGTGGTTGGTACTGGTGGGGAGGGTGTAGAAGCAGAGCAGGAGAGCATGGAGATGATTGATGGAGGGGAGCAGCGTGTGGCGGATCCAGCAGGGGCTGTTGAGGTGGGCACAGAGGTCGAGGCTGTAGTGTAGCTGGTGCTGTAGTTGCTGATGGGATAAATTAGCTAATGTCATAAAAGGATGCTGACCAAGAGTTTTCCTGTTGCAGTTCATTTTGCCGTTTCCATCTATAGAGTGCCAAAAGGACAAAAACATGGTGGTAGATGTGTAGATTGAGGCCGTGCCAGAGTGAGGCTAGATTTCAGAATGTGTAGATTTCTTGTGCGTCTCTCAACCTGTTACGTGTGCGCGGGGAAATGACTAATAACGCGAATAACCTTACGAAGGTGCTCTGTCCCGCGGACCCAAACTAAGGAGAAGGTGCCATTTGGATTACACATCTCACCAGCAGCTCATCCGCAAGTCGTACCATGGACGATTGAATTTCGTTTCTGTTCGTAAGGTTCTCTGCAAGTACCGCCAACATTTTCCCTAACTGCACCTCCTCTTACGCCAAAACGCTGAATGGTGTGGTTTCGTGCCGCTCTCGACCTTACAAAAATTACGTCCTAGTTCTCTATTTTCCGTTGAGAAAGCTATGTTTGTCGGAATTGGAGTTATCGAGGTGACCCCCTTGGTTCTGGATGCATTCAGTGGCCGCGCCTCCCTCATCCAAGCCTCCAGGCTTGCGGCGAAGCGCGCGGCACTCGTAAGCTCGCCATGTTCAGTGGTAGCGCTCCCAGTCCGAGCCCACTTTTGAGTCGACTCTGAAGGTAGCGCTCCCAGTCCGAGCCCTGTGTCGTCTCTTGCGCGTCGCGACAGCCATCAGCGCTTCTCGCACCTCCTGCTCCACGACTTCTGAGTCGTCTCGAAAGTACCGCGCATAACCAACCGAGATTCTCTTTTCGCCTCTCCTAGGCCCTCCTCGCCCCTCCCCGCCAGTTCCCCCCCGCTCCCCACCTCTGCTCGTCTCTGCCTCTCCACACCGATCATGCTGAGTGGGGCAGCGGGGCAGCGCGTCACACGGGCCTTCAGCGATTCTCGCTCCTGCTCGACGAATTCTAAATCGTCTCGATAGTATTGCCGCACAGCCACATCAGCACCCTCCCCGCCTCTCCCCACCTCTCCACACCTCTCCCCACCTCTGCGATCATGCTGAGCGGAGCCGCGCGTCGCAAGGGCCACCAGCGCTTCTCCCTCCTTCTCCTCGACGACGGGGACCACTACATAACCGACTGGGTCGCCACGTGTCACCTCGTGGATGGCCAGCCGCGCGCGCTCGCGGGCGGGCGGCTGCGGCTGTGCATGAAATCGCTCTTCTTCGAGCCGCAGGACCCCGCCATCCCCATTATAATGTTCCCCATGCCGCACATACTAGTCGTTTTCCACCCCGCGTCGCGCCGCCGGTACCGCTCGCAGCTGGGCGCGAAACTCGCCGCGGAGGGGCGCATCCGCGCGGAGTGGGCGGGGGAAGGAGCGGGGGCGGGCGGGGAGGACGGGGGTCGGGGCGTGGGGGGAGGGCGGAGGAACGATGGCGGAAGGCTGGGGAATGCGTATGGGGATGTGGGGGGGTATGGGGGAGATAATGGGTATGGGGATGTGGTGTATGTGACGACAGGCATGTATGTGGCAATGAAGGCGTGTGGGCAGGACGTGCCGTACGAGTTCGAGAAGAAGGAGCTGGACGAGGGCCACCTGCCTTCCACGTGGGCCTTCTCCCTTGACTACTCGCCCACCTCACGGGTATGCGTGCTTGTTGTGGGTGCAGCAAGCAGGTTTATGCCACTCGCAGAGAGGTCGGAATCAGATGCTACTGAGGTAACACAGCAACCAGGGCGGTGGGGAGGAGCTGCCGTCCACCTGGGCCTTCTCCCTTGACTACTCGCCCACCTCACAGGTATGCGTGCCTGCTTCAGCAGTCCCCCACCACCCTTGTAAGACCAAACAACGGTAGCTGGGAATTATACCCCCCACGCCCACCACGTGGGTAGGACCATCAGGTTACTACCACTCGTGAAGGCTGGGGAATGCGTATTGAGGCGACACAGCAACCAGCCGGGTGGGAAGTAGCTCCACGAGGGCCACTTGTCTGCTCTGCCCTCCACCTGGGAACTTCTTCTCCCCCCACTGCTCCCCTTCCTCGCGGGTATGACTCAAAAGCAAGGGCCACACATGGGAGCGAGATGACTTTTGAGCCACACATATCTACTCGAAAGTCATCACGAGCAGAGGGATATGGATGGAGGTGTCATTTACAGCTGCTGCCGTACGAGCAGAGGGACATAGAGGTGCCACGGCACCTGACCGTCATTCTCCCATACCCCATCCCCCATACCCTCCTCCCCCGTGCTCTCCCCAACAGCTCCTAGACGAGGCGCTGCCAGTGCTGGGCGTGCAGCTGCTGCCCTACGAGCAGCGGGACATGGAGGTGGCGCGGCGCCTCTCTCCGATGGAGGCATCCCCCATACCCGCATGCGCCATCCCCCCATCCCATGTTCAGCTGTTAGACAAGGCGCTGCCAGTGCTGGGCGTGCAGCTGCTACCGTACGAGCAGCGAGACATGGAGGTGCCTGCTGTCCCTCCAGGCCCTCCCTTCTTCCCATCCCCCCGTCCCTCCCTTCCCTCCCACCAGTTGTTAGATGAAGCCTTGCCAGTGCTGGGGGTGCAGCTGCTGCCGTACGAGCAGCGAGACATGGAGGTGGCGCGGCGGCTGTCCCTCATGGAGGCCTCGGCGCCCTTTGACGTCAGCCGCCTCGTCGACCTCTCCGAACACATCCTGCTCGACTGCCTCGCCTCCCAGGTGCGTGTGGCGTGAGTCAACGTGAGTCAACTTGAATCAACGTGAGTCAACGCAAGTCAGCTCAGATTAAGTTGACTCAGGAGTACTTCCTCCTGGACTGCCGGGTCAACAAGGCACATGTGTACTGCCGTGTGAGTGAGTCTACATGACTAATGCCCAGAGCATTTACAGCGTTGTCTCTGCTGCCTGCTTGTTTACTTGGCTGGCTGACTAGTGGAAATGAGGGAGAGGAGGAGAGCACAGGCTGCCGGTTGCCGTGGCTGCCTTTCCATGACTCTACAGGCCATCTTGACTCTCCTTCAACACATGCTCTATCTGTGCCCGACCCGAACCTCACCTTCAGGTTCGGCCGCTGGTTCGGGAGCCGGGCCGCCTTGTGATCACACAGCAGCGGCTTTACTTCCAGGTGACATCTGGTGCAGGAAACATCTGGCAGGTGGCATCTGGTGCAGGTGGCATCTGGTGCAGGTGGCATCTGGTGCAGGTGGCATCTGGTGCAGGTGGCATCTGGTGCAGGGGACATCTGGTGCAGGTGGCATCTATTGCAGTTAACATGCCACTGCGTTTTGTTGTGTGGGGTAGGCTGTGTATGCTGTGCTGTCTGCTGCTGTTTTCCTCTTCACGCTTCTCCCCCCCACCTCCACACTGCTTGTTAACTTAACTCCATGTCCGCTTATCTCTGCACTTGCCCCCTTCCCGTCTTGCTCCCTCCTTTCAAGCTGCTGTGCACCTCTCACCTCACTCACCTCACTCACACATGAACGTCCCTCTCTTGCATCTTCCTTCTGCCCCTCCCTCGCATCGCACCTTCCCTCCAGCCCCATTTTCCCCCCTTCTCCTCTCTCGCCCTTCTCTCCTCTTTTTCTCCTCTCCTCTCTATCCCCTCGCTCCCCTCTCCCACTTCAACCTTTCTCAGCAGTAAGAGGGATCCCCATCTGCATCTTCCCGCTCCTCCCCCACCCTCTCCTTCTCGCCTCCCTTTATCCTCTTTTTCTCTCCAACTCCCACTCCACTTTTCACCCCCCTCCCCCTCTCTGACAGCCATTGCACGCCATCAGCAGTGAGAGTCCCCTTCGAATCTTTCCCCTGCCCCTCTTCTCTGTTCTCACCTTTTTTCCCCCCTCTCCCGCTTATTCCTCCCCCTCCCCCTCTCTCACAGCCACTGCACGCCATCAGCAGTGAGAGTCCCCTCCGAATCTTCCCCCTGCCCCTCCTCCTCTCCGCTGCCCGCCGCCGCCACTCCCTGCGCCCCCGCGGCCTCGAAATCTTCTTCTCCTGCCCGGACCTATCGCAGCGTGCCAGCTCAGGGAGCTCAGGAGGAGGAGGACTGGAGGGGGGTGGTGGCACCGGCGGGAGAGGAGGGGGGAACGGTGTGGGTAGGGGGAGGGTAGTTGGGGGTAGTGGGGGGAGCGGGGGGAGTGGGGGCGGAGGGCCGTTGGGGGATGGCAGCAGTGTGTTCTTTGTGTTCAGCTCTCAGGGGGAGAGGGACCGAGCTGCTGCGCTGCTGCAGAAGCTGTTGGGGGTGAGTGAGAGAGTGTTTTTTAGCCAATCTCCAATCTCTGTCTACGAATGCTTCATACCGCTCCCGGTTTTTCACCCTCTCCTTCTCACTCTCCTTTCTCCCGCCCTGCTCTTTCTTTCTCTCCTGTTTCTCACTCTCCATATCCCCTGCTCTCTCTCTCTCTCTCTCTCTCCCGTGTCTCCCTCCCAACGGGCATCACATCAGGGTGTGTCCAGCCCAGCAGCAGCGGCAGCATCGCTACTAGAGGCTCACTCGCACGCACTGCAGGCCGTCACGGGGCTGTGGCAGGTGGGGCTGTGGCAGGTGGGGATGGGCCAGGTGGGGATGGGGCAGGTGGGGCAGTGAAGTTTCAACATAATTGTGTGGTGGTTGGGGCAGGTGCGGCGGTGGGGCAGTGGGACAGTGGCTGGCACGGCTGGGGCAGGTGGGGCAGGGATGGATGGCATTTCAGCATCATTGCTCAATTGTTTTCTCCCTCTCCTCTCCCCCATACCTTGTTTCCCACAGCCAATCGTTTTTCCACCCTCTCCCTGTTCGCCCCCTCCCTCCCGTACCTTGCTTCCGCGAGACAGTTATCCACTTTTGAGACGTCTCAAAACTCCCACCCTCTCCCTGTATATTCCTTCCCTCCCTCCCATCTCTGTCTCCTCATTTTCTCATTCCCTTCTCACAAACCACCTCCCTCCCTCCTCCCTCTCCGCCCCTCCAGTCTACCCCCAACTATCTCCTCCTCCCCAACCTCTCTCCCCTCACCTTCCATGCACTATTCTCACCCCACTGTCCCCTACCTCCTTCTCCACTCCCCCAGACCGGCCGCATCTCCAACCGCGACTATCTGCTCTTCCTCAACCTGGCAGCAGGCCGCACTATGTGTGACTTGGCGCAGTGGCCTGTCATGCCCTGGGTGCTCGCGGATTACACCTCCCACCACCTTGATTTGAACGACCCCGCCACCTTCAGAGACCTCTCCAAGGTGCGCCCTCTGCCTGCCTGCCTGCTTTCGCCAGTGTGTGTGACTTGGCGCAGTGGCCGGTCATGCCCTGGGTGCTTGCGGACTACACCAGCCCACACTTGAACCTCGACGACCCTTCATCTTTCAGAGACCTCTCCAAGGTGTGAGCCCTCTGCCTGCCTGCTTGTCGCACCATGCGTGACTTGGTTTGGCGCGGTGGCCCGTCATGCCCTGGGTGCTCGCGGATTACACCTCCCACCACCTCGATTTGAACGACCCCGCCACCTTCAGAGACCTCTCCAAGGTGAATGCCCGCCCCACCCGCCCCGCCCGCCTGCCCGCCCGCCTGCCGCCCACCTCATCTATCTGTATGCGCTGAAGCTGCACTGCAGTTAGGAGGAGGAGCAGTCGAAAGCAGCACTGGAAAGCAGCGCTCACCTCTCTTCGCCTTGTTGAGGATTCTCGTCTGTGTTGTTGTGCTGTGCTGTGTAGTGCTTTTGAGGCGACCCAAATGTAGTGTAGCCCATGGGGAGCAATGTCCACTGCCTTTCACGAACGACTTTTGTTGAGGTGCCTCAAAAGACCACTCCTTCTCACCACCCTGCCTGCCTCTCCTCCTGATTTTTGAGATGTCTCAAGAGCCCATGATTACTGCCTGTCACCACCCTGCTGCTCCTCCTGAATCGGCCCTCCCCACCTCTCTCCTTCATCCCCTTCCCCACCTCTCTCCTTCATCCCCTTCCCCACCTATCTCCTTCATCCCCTCCTCACCTCTCTCCTCCATCTTCTCCCCACCTCTCTCCTCCATCTCCTCCCCACCTCTCTCCTTCATCCCCTCCCCGCCTCTCTCCTTCACCCCCTACCAACATCTTTCCTTCACCACTTTTCACCTTTCTCTCCATTTCCTCAATCTCTCCCTCCCCACCTCTGCAGCCAGTGGGAGCGCTCAACCCGGCACGCCTTGCAGAGTTCAGAGAGCGGTACGACGAGGTAAGGAGTGGTACATTGCAATAAAGAGTGGTACAATGAGGCAAAGAGCGGTGCAGTGAGTGCAGGAGCAGTGCAATGAAGCAAAAATCGGTTCGACAAGACGAAACCCTCCTTTATCCGCCGTTTGCATCCATCCACTGTCTTCCGAGGTGACTTTTGAGTCGACTCAAAAGTCACCTCGTTGTGAGTCGGCTCAAAAGTCACCTCGTTGTGAGTCGGCGCAAAAATCACCTCGTTACCATGGCCCAGTCGTTACCACTGCCTTGCAATATCTCCAAGCTCTTGAGTGGACTAAAAGCTCATCTCCTACCGCTCACCACCCCACCAACCCCACCCACCTCCCTCCCCTACCCACCCCCCCGCACACACACCAGATGCCTCGGGACAAGAGTGGATCAGAGCGCACCAAGCCTTTCCTCTACGGCACTCACTACTCCACTCCTGGGTACGCTGAGTCCTTTCTGCTGTTGCATGTGTGTTTATGAATCACCAGCGCCCTCCACTCCAGTCCAGGATAGCTTCACATTTCTTCGTAATGATGACAGCCTCCTCAAGGGTACACTGAAAGGCTGGGGTTTACCGTCACTTCTCTTTCGCTCCCTGCTCTTTCGCTCACTTCTCTTTCGCTCCCTGCTCTTTCGCTCACTTCTCTTTCGCTCCCTGCTCTTTCGCTCACTTCTCTTTCGCTCCCTGCTCTTTCGCTCACTTCTCTTTCGCTCCCTGCTCTTTCGCTCACTTCTCTTTCGCTCCCTGCTCTTTCGCTCACTTCTCTTTCGCTCCCTGCTCTTTCGCTCCCTGCTCTTTCGCTCCCTGCTCTTTCGCTCACTTCTCTTTCGCTCCCTGCTCTTTCGCTCACTTCTCTTTCGCTCCCTGCTCTTTCGCTCACTTCTCTTTCGCTCCCTGCTCTTTCGCTCACTTCTCTTTCGCTCCCTGCTCTTTCGCTCACTTCTCTTTCGCTCCCTGCTCTTTCGCTCACTTCTCTTTCGCTCCCTGCTCTTTCGCTCACTTCTCTTTCGCTCCCTGCTCTTTCGCTCCCTGCTCTTTCGCTCCCTGCTCTTTCGCTCACTTCTCTTTCGCTCCCTGCTCTTTCGCTCACTTCTCTTTCGCTCCCTGCTCTTTCGCTCACTTCTCTTTCGCTCCCTGCTCTTTCGCTCACTTCTCTTTCGCTCCCTGCTCTTTCGCTCCCTGCTCTTTCGCTCCCTGCTCTTTCGCTCCCTGCTCTTTCGCTCCCTGCTCTTTCGCTCACTTCTCTTTCGCTCCCTGCTCTTTCGCTCACTTCTCTTTCGCTCCCTGCTCTTTCGCTCACTTCTCTTTCGCTCCCTGCTCTTTCGCTCACTTCTCTTTCGCTCCCTGCTCTTTCGCTCACTTCTCTTTCGCTCCCTGCTCTTTCGCTCACTTCTCTTTCGCTCCCTGCTCTTTCGCTCACTTCTCTTTCGCTCCCTGCTCTTTCGCTCCCTGCTCTTTCGCTCCCTGCTCTTTCGCTCACTTCTCTTTCGCTCCCTGCTCTTTCGCTCACTTCTCTTTCGCTCCCTGCTCTTTCGCTCACTTCTCTTTCGCTCCCTGCTCTTTCGCTCACTTCTCTTTCGCTCCCTGCTCTTTCGCTCACTTCTCTTTCGCTCCCTGCTCTTTCGCTCCCTGCTCTTTCGCTCCCTGCTCTTTCGCTCACTTCTCTTTCGCTCCCTGCTCTTTCGCTCCCTGCTCTTTCGCTCCCTGCTCTTTCGCTCACTTCTCTTTCGCTCCCTGCTCTTTCGCTCACTTCTCTTTCGCTCCCTGCTCTTTCGCTCACTTCTCTTTCGCTCCCTGCTCTTTCGCTCACTTCTCTTTCGCTCCCTGCTCTTTCGCTCACTTCTCTTTCGCTCCCTGCTCTTTCGCTCACTTCTCTTTCGCTCCCTGCTCTTTCGCTCACTTCTCTTTCGCTCCCTGCTCTTTCGCTCCCTGCTCTTTCGCTCCCTGCTCTTTCGCTCACTTCTCTTTCGCTCCCTGCTCTTTCGCTCACTTCTCTTTCGCTCCCTGCTCTTTCGCTCACTTCTCTTTCGCTCCCTGCTCTTTCGCTCACTTCTCTTTCGCTCCCTGCTCTTTCGCTCACTTCTCTTTCGCTCCCTGCTCTTTCGCTCACTTCTCTTTCGCTCCCTGCTCTTTCGCTCCCTGCTCTTTCGCTCCCTGCTCTTTCGCTCACTTCTCTTTCGCTCCCTGCTCTTTCGCTCACTTCTCTTTCGCTCCCTGCTCTTTCGCTCACTTCTCTTTCGCTCCCTGCTCTTTCGCTCACTTCTCTTTCGCTCCCTGCTCTTTCGCTCACTTCTCTTTCGCTCCCTGCTCTTTCGCTCACTTCTCTTTCGCTCCCTGCTCTTTCGCTCACTTCTCTTTCGCTCCCTGCTCTTTCGCTCACTTCTCTTTCGCTCCCTGCTCTTTCGCTCACTTCTCTTTCGCTCCCTGCTCTTTCGCTCACTTCTCTTTCGCTCCCTGCTCTTTCGCTCACTTCTCTTTCGCTCCCTGCTCTTTCGCTCACTTCTCTTTCGCTCCCTGCTCTTTCGCTCCCTGCTCTTTCGCTCCCTGCTCTTTCGCTCACTTCTCTTTCGCTCCCTGCTCTTTCGCTCACTTCTCTTTCGCTCCCTGCTCTTTCGCTCACTTCTCTTTCGCTCCCTGCTCTTTCGCTCACTTCTCTTTCGCTCCCTGCTCTTTCGCTCACTTCTCTTTCGCTCCCTGCTCTTTCGCTCACTTCTCTTTCGCTCCCTGCTCTTTCGCTCACTTCTCTTTCGCTCCCTGCTCTTTCGCTCCCTGCTCTTTCGCTCCCTGCTCTTTCGCTCACTTCTCTTTCGCTCCCTGCTCTTTCGCTCACTTCTCTTTCGCTCCCTGCTCTTTCGCTCACTTCTCTTTCGCTCCCTGCTCTTTCGCTCACTTCTCTTTCGCTCCCTGCTCTTTCGCTCACTTCTCTTTCGCTCCCTGCTCTTTCGCTCACTTCTCTTTCGCTCCCTGCTCTTTCGCTCACTTCTCTTTCGCTCCCTGCTCTTTCGCTCACTTCTCTTTCGCTCCCTGCTCTTTCGCTCCCTGCTCTTTCGCTCCCTGCTCTTTCGCTCCCTGCTCTTTCGCTCCCTGCTCTTTCGCTCACTTCTCTTTCGCTCCCTGCTCTTTCGCTCACTTCTCTTTCGCTCCCTGCTCTTTCGCTCACTTCTCTTTCGCTCCCTGCTCTTTCGCTCACTTCTCTTTCGCTCCCTGCTCTTTCGCTCACTTCTCTTTCGCTCCCTGCTCTTTCGCTCACTTCTCTTTCGCTCCCTGCTCTTTCGCTCACTTCTCTTCGCTCCCTGCTCTTTCGCTCACTTCTCTTTCGCTCCCTGCTCTTTCGCTCACTTCTCTTTCGCTCCCTGCTCTTTCGCTCACTTCTCTTTCGCTCCCTGCTCTTTCGCTCACTTCTCTTTCGCTCCCTGCTCTTTCGCTCACTTCTCTTTCGCTCCCTGCTCTTTCGCTCACTTCTCTTTCGCTCCCTGCTCTTTCGCTCACTTCTCTTTCGCTCCCTGCTCTTTCGCTCACTTCTCTTTCGCTCCCTGCTCTTTCGCTCACTTCTCTTTCGCTCCCTGCTCTTTCGCTCACTTCTCTTTCGCTCCCTGCTCTTTCGCTCACTTCTCTTTCGCTCCCTGCTCTTTCGCTCACTTCTCTTTCGCTCCCTGCTCTTTCGCTCACTTCTCTTTCGCTCCCTGCTCTTTCGCTCACTTCTCTTTCGCTCCCTGCTCTTTCACTCCCTGCTCTTTCGCTCCCTGCTCTTTCGCTCACTTCTCTTTCGCTCCCTGCTCTTTCGCTCACTTCTCTTTCGCTCCCTGCTCTTTCGCTCACTTCTCTTTCGCTCCCTGCTCTTTCGCTCACTTCTCTTTCGCTCCCTGCTCTTTCGCTCACTTCTCTTTCGCTCCCTGCTCTTTCGCTCACTTCTCTTTCGCTCCCTGCTCTTTCGCTCACTTCTCTTTCGCTCCCTGCTCTTTCGCTCACTTCTCTTTCGCTCCCTGCTCTTTCGCTCACTTCTCTTTCGCTCCCTGCTCTTTCGCTCACTTCTCTTTCGCTCCCTGCTCTTTCGCTCACTTCTCTTTCGCTCCCTGCTCTTTCGCTCACTTCTCTTTCGCTCCCTGCTCTTTCGCTCCCTGCTCTTTCGCTCCCTGCTCTTTCGCTCACTTCTCTTTCGCTCCCTGCTCTTTCGCTCACTTCTCTTTCGCTCCCTGCTCTTTCGCTCACTTCTCTTTCGCTCCCTGCTCTTTCGCTCACTTCTCTTTCGCTCCCTGCTCTTTCGCTCACTTCTCTTTCGCTCCCTGCTCTTTCGCTCACTGCTCTTTCGCTCCCTGCTCTTTCGCTCCCTGCTCTTTCGCTCCCTGCTCTTTCGCTCCCTGCTCTTTCGCTCCCTGCTCTTTCGCTCACTTCTCTTTCGCTCCCTGCTCTTTCGCTCACTTCTCTTTCGCTCCCTGCTCTTTCGCTCACTTCTCTTTCGCTCCCTGCTCTTTCGCTCACTTCTCTTTCGCTCCCTGCTCTTTCGCTCACTTCTCTTTCGCTCCCTGCTCTTTCGCTCCCTGCTCTTTCGCTCCCTGCTCTTTCGCTCCCTGCTCTTTCGCTCCCTGCTCTTTCGCTCACTTCTCTTTCGCTCCCTGCTCTTTCGCTCACTTCTCTTTCGCTCCCTGCTCTTTCGCTCACTTCTCTTTCGCTCCCTGCTCTTTCGCTCACTTCTCTTTCGCTCCCTGCTCTTTCGCTCACTTCTCTTTCGCTCCCTGCTCTTTCGCTCACTTCTCTTTCGCTCCCTGCTCTTTCGCTCCCTGCTCTTTCGCTCCCTGCTCTTTCGCTCACTTCTCTTTCGCTCCCTGCTCTTTCGCTCACTTCTCTTTCGCTCCCTGCTCTTTCGCTCACTTCTCTTTCGCTCCCTGCTCTTTCGCTCACTTCTCTTTCGCTCCCTGCTCTTTCGCTCACTTCTCTTTCGCTCCCTGCTCTTTCGCTCACTTCTCTTTCGCTCCCTGCTCTTTCGCTCACTTCTTTTCGCTCCCTGCTCTTTCGCTCACTTCTCTTTCGCTCCCTGCTCTTTCGCTCACTTCTCTTTCGCTCCCTGCTCTTTCGCTCACTTCTCTTTCGCTCCCTGCTCTTTCGCTCACTTCTCTTTCGCTCACTTCTCTTTCGCTCACTTCTCTTTCGCTCCCTGCTCTTTCGCTCACTTCTCTTTCGCTCCCTGCTCTTTCGCTCACTTCTCTTTCGCTCCCTGCTCTTTCGCTCACTTCTCTTTCGCTCCCTGCTCTTTCGCTCACTTCTCTTTCGCTCCCTGCTCTTTCGCTCACTTCTCTTTCGCTCCCTGCTCTTTCGCTCACTTCTCTTTCGCTCCCTGCTCTTTCGCTCACTTCTCTTTCGCTCCCTGCTCTTTCGCTCACTTCTCTTTCGCTCCCTGCTCTTTCGCTCACTTCTCTTTCGCTCCCTGCTCTTTCGCTCACTTCTCTTTCGCTCCCTGCTCTTTCGCTCACTTCTCTTTCGC